ACATGATGGACACCAGCATCAAGGTGATTGTGCATCCGGCACTGAACACCCTCCAGCAGCATGCGCTGTCCACATCGGCCGCGGCTGCCGAGGGTCAGGTCAAGGGCTATGGCACCCCGGTTACGTTCACCTGCGACAGTAAGTGGTAGTATTGTGGCTCTCCCCAATGCTCGCATTACCCCTTTCCTCTCCTTTTCAGTTGACTCCGTGGTGGCGCAGGTGGTAGCCCAGGCGCTGGCCTCGCTGGAGGGTCAGGTGAAGGGCAGTGTCACCGACTATGTCGTCAAGGTGGGTGTCTCTACACTATTTCATTCAATCTGTACCCTGGCTGATCTGTGCCCATCTGATCTTTCAGCCCATTGGTCTGCTGGAGTGGCTGGCCCCCACCTCGCGGCTGAGCCAACTGGAGAGTGTCCACAACAGCTTCCAGCTGGAGAAGGACGTCCACCTGGGTCTGTGCCTGAGCACAGCCTCCAACATGCAGGCCATAGCGCGCTCAGAGCGGGACGACGTGAACGACGCGGACCTGCAGCCCGAGCAGCTGTTCCCCAACGAGGTGGTGCCCATTGTCACCTACGACAACATGATGATACTCATCGAGACGCTCGAGATGGAGATCGACAAGCTGGAGTCGGCCGCTGACCCGCCGCCACCCGCTTCCGGCCGTAGCGTGGTCAGCTGCTCGGGCGTGGTCCAGGCGGTGAAGGCCATTTGCGCTCTGCTCGGCTCCATCGACACCCTGGACATTGCGCGCTGTGTGTCCGACCTGAAGCGCGTTTGCGAGGATGCCCAGACGAAGTATGCGGCTGGATCGGGGGCCAGCAATCCGGAGATCGTTAGCGACTACGGCGACTATGCCCAGGTCACAATGCGACCGCGCTCCCTGCTCGAGCAGATCAAGGTCAAGTGCAATATCCTGCGCGATGCGGTGCAGGAGCTGGTCGAGCTCTATGCGAATGTGTTCCGGGTGGCATTCTCCGTAAAGTCGCTGGACTACGCCACAAGTGAGTGGTGGCCCGGGATCTGCTCTCAGCCAATCCTAATCCCAATTGAATCCCGTCTATAATTCCAGCACCCATTCCCATTTCGTGCGTGTCAAAGCCGATCGTGGTGAGCATCAACTGTCTGCACAGGCCGCCGCCGAACTGGAAGTACGATGACTACTCGCTGTGCGTGCAGCTGGTCTACGGAACGCGGCTGCTGTCGAAACCCAATGTCCTGAGCTGCTCGAACGACACGAGCGGCGGCCTGTTTCCGCGCCTCAACTTCAGCGCCTGGCTGACCTTCGAGCAGCACCCCATATGCACGTTGCCGCGCGAGGCGCGGGTCACGTTTGTCCTCTACGGCAAGCAGGCGGCCAGCGAAAACGAGCCAAACTCGGAGCCCAACGGCGAGCGGCGGCAGGTGACCACCGAGCTGGGCTGGTGCTCCATACAGCTGTTCGACTTTAAGCGGGCGATGATCTGCGGCCCCTACCTGCTGTCCGTGTGGCCCCCAACCACTGACAAAATGCTGGGCCCGGCCCCAGCCCGCGGCTGTCACCCACATCCCGACTTCTGTCCTGTCCTGAGCATCGAGGTGCCGCCCTATGGAGGGCGCATCGAGTTCCCGGAGCACCAGGAGGTGCCCAAGCCAGCCCCGCAGTGAGTTGTTGCCTCGACTCGGCCAGTTCGGCACAGTCTTCTAACACTCTCGGTTCCGCCCACAGCTACGACTTTGCCTCTCTGGACGCCAACCTGCAGGAGGAGCTGCTGGACACCGCCGAGCTAGGCTACACCGGGGCCACCGAGCGACGCGAAGTATTCTGGGAGAAACGTCTGTACCTGCAGAACTATCCCAATGCGCTGCCCAAGGTCCTGCATGCCGCGCACAGCTGGGACTACGCGAACCTGATAGATCTGCACGCCCTGCTGCACTCGTGGGCCCCACTGTCGCCGCTGCAGGCGCTCGAGCTGCTGCTGCCCCGCTATCCGGACGCCAAGGTGCGGGAGAAGGCCGTCGAATGGATTTCGAAGATGCCCAACGACCAGCTGGTGGACTTCTTGCCGCAGCTGGTTCAGTCACTGAAGCACGACACCTATGAGGGCTCGGCCATGGCCCGATTCCTGCTGGCCAAGTGCCTCGAGTCGCCGCGATTCGCCCACCACATGTACTGGCTGCTGGTGCACAGTCTGCCCGACGATCCGCACAACTCGATTGGGGCCGCCATGGTGGACCAGGAGTACGACGAGTGCCAGATAACCCAGGCGCGCTACTACCGCCGCAGCAAGATGATGCTGCGCGCCCTAATGGCCATCTGCGGCGAGAAGATGCTTCAGCGCTTCATGTACCAGCACCGCATGTGTCAGGTAGGCGCCCATCAGCTCCATTGTGTCCATCTAGCCCGTTTACCCTGATTTTGCTTCCACAGAAACTGACGACCATAGCGGAGTCTGTGAAGGAGTCCAAAGAGTCGATGCGGCAAAAGAGCCTGGCTGCCGGAATGGACGAGGTGCACCAGGATCTGCTGGATAAGCCCACCTGCCTGCCGCTGGGACCAGAGCTGGAGGTGACGGGCGTCGCTGTGCGCAACTGCAGCTACTTCAACTCCAACACACTGCCGCTGAAGATCACCTTCGTGGGACCCGATGCCGAGTCCCTGCCAGCCATCTTTAAGGTAGTCTCCACGAGAGAGAGCGAGAGGGCCTCACGGTGATTGGTACTAAGTGGTTGACTTCTTTCTAGTGCGGCGATGATCTGCAGCAGGACCAGCTGACCATTCAGCTGATTCGCATCATGAACAAGATGTGGTTGGCCGAGCGACTCGACCTGAAGATGGTCACCTTCAACTGCGTGCCGACTGGCTACAAGAGCGGCATGATCGAGCTCGTCTCCGAGGCGGAGACGTTGCGCAAGATCCAGGTGGAGTGCGGCCTGACCGGCTCGTTCAAGGATCGCCCCATAGCCGAGTGGCTGGGCAAGCAGAATCCCAGTCCCCTGGAGTACCAGAGTGCTGTGCGCAATTTCACACTGTCCTGCGCCGGCTACAGCGTGGCCACCTACGTGCTGGGCATCTGCGACAGGCACAACGACAACATCATGCTGAAGACCTCGGGGCATCTATTCCACATTGACTTTGGCAAATTCCTGGGCGATGCCCAGATGTTTGGCAACTTCAAGAGGTAAGAGGGAGATGCTCTCCCATCGGTGTAGGTTTATTGATTCTGATCCGTATTCATCACCCGCAGAGATCGTACTCCGTTTGTGCTCACCTCGGACATGGCGTACGTGATAAACGGCGGGGACAAGCCCTCCACCGACTTCCACTACTTTGTGGATCTGTGCTGTCGCGCCTTCAACATTGTGCGCAAGAATGCCGACCTGCTGCTGCACACGCTGGCCCACATGGCCACGGCCGGCATGCCGGGTGTCAACTCCAATGCCGTTACCTACGTGCGGCGTGCCCTGCTGCCGTCGCAGTCGAATCCCGAGGCGGCGGCCACCTTCGCCAAGATGATCCAGTCATCGCTGAAGAGCTGGTTCACCCAGTTCAATTTCTTTCTCCACAACCTGGCCCAGATGCGCTTCACCGCCGACGAGGGCACCGGCGAGCTGCTCTCATTCGTGCCGCGCAAATACACGTGAGTCTCGACCGCTTCCACCTGGAACATGTCCTATCAGGCGGGCTCCGGTTTAAGCTAGCTTTGGGTGCTCCCGTTTTCGCCCCCGTTGTTAAGTTTTTAAATTTTCTCTAGTGCGGTTACGCGCACAATTTGGCCTGCTACGCGCAGAAACGACTCTGCAGCGACGATCCGATAACAATCGGATGCAGCCCGATGCTGCCAGCAAATCGCAATCGCCATCGCAATCGCAATCGAAATCGCAACTGTTGTTAGTCAGACATCAGTTACTTCAGAGCAAAATGGGGTTGGGTAAAACAGAAATGGTTTATAAGAAAAGGCACAACCTAAACTGCTCTGGAAATGGTGTCGTATAGCTTTAAGGCATCAATAAGCCATCTATTTGTGTGCTTCTACACTTAAGATTCGGTTTGTTGTCCGTTTCCGGGAGCACTTTCAAAAGTAAATCGGAATACCGGAGCCTGTCCATATATGATATGTATGTGCACTAAAACCCAATCACTTGTATCGTTTCATAGCATGCAGCAGGATGGTCGCTTGAAGATTGTCAAGGTGGTGCGCTTCCAGAAGCACTACAGCATGGAGAAGTTCTACATGTACATACTGCAGGTGACGCGGCACGGACAGCCGGATCCCACGCACTTGTTCCGCTCGTATCGCGAGTTCACCGAGTTCCATCAGAAGCTGTGCATGCACTTTCCCCTGGTCAAACTTCACAGGTGAGTTTGCAATTTAGTTCAGATGATAGCAGATCCCTGGTAGCATTACAAAAGTCATACGATGCTTAGATAGATCCTAAGATCATGTTCGAGTCTTATGCCTGCGTAATCAGGGACAACTAGAGTAGCGGTGGGCACACCTTTTCAATTTGGGAGCAGTCCTCGGGGCCTCGACGCCTGGTCACGCACTCATGTATTTTATTTGTACAATCGCTGGCCCGAACCTTCGTCCCATTCACGAGTCGAAGAGTAGTGTGCATCGATCCTTAGTCCCATTCACGAGCCGGCGAGCCATGCACACTACATGAATTTTGTTCTTGCATTTTCGGGCCTTCTTGTTGGCTTTTTCCGCTAGCGCGTCTGCCTGGAGTCGGGTTGGAATCATTTGGGTGCGAGGGACGATATCCATATATATGTATGTATATTTCCCATTGGAACAATTCCTCTGACAGTGCATATATCTATCGCTTTGTCCCCCATATCTTGTTCTCTTTCTTGTTCTTGTTTTTGCATGTTATCGTGGCTTTATCGAAATACAGACGTGTTCATCTATTAGACTCTTTATCTAGACGTTTAAAAATTGATTCCGATTCGGCTTCAAAACCTTTGCTTATCTTGCGAAATGCCTAGAGACGCTCTTTTTTGTTGTTATCTTCCAAGGCTATGCTCCTATGCTACTTCCTGCTATATTGTTTATTATTATTATAATATAGTCAACATTGTATGGCAACTTATCTTTGAAATGTACACATATAATCGTACATGCTAGTACATACTCGTTATTGGGTCTTGGCCATGGCCAGGGCCGGGGCCAGCCAGCAGGCATTAAATTTACACATAAAATACTGTATTTGCTAAGGAAATCGACGGAAACGGACGGGCAGGTCTTGTTCCTAGGCATCCGTATCGTTCTGCATTGTCCGCAGTGCTGCTGTCATGGTGCGATGCTGGCTGATGGCGCGTCCGAAGGCCTCGTCGTCGCTGCTGTCGTCCTGCGAGACCTGTGCCCCGAACAGGCTTGGCACACTGTTGTGCCCCGGTCCCGGCTCCGGCTCCGGCTCGAATATGGTCGAGCGCATCATGGGGCGCGGCGGAGGGCGATCCTCCTCAGACTCTCCACTCGACGAGGCGACTACCTCTGCGGACTGGTAGTACTGCAGGTTCTCCACGTCGAAGCGCACCTTGAGCGTGCGTGGGTTTCGCTGGGCAGGCCTCGGTGCCGAGGGCACTTCGTCCTCGCTGGAACTGGAGCCGGGGAGCTCTTCGGGATGGTAGCAAGGCAGGGGAGCCGCATCGCCACGGACATTGAGTGTGCTGGTCTTGGTAGAGCGCGGAGCAGGCTGAGGTGCTGGTCGCGGTGCCTCAGCCACGGTCACGGCCACGGCCATTTCCTGGCATAGCTCCTCGAAATTGTCAATTCCATTTGTCGGCGCTTCAGAACTGCTCGGTCCTGTGCTTCCGTTCGTTTCCAGTTCGGCATACAGATCCTCTATGCTGCTCACAAATCGCTCGCCCCCCACGGCCTCGGTGTACTTGGGCAAGGTGTGGCTGGCCCGCGAGTCCTCCAGCTGCATCAGGGACTCGTAGTCAGGCAGGTAGGGCGGGCCGGGGTCGTAGGGCGGCGGTTCGACCGACTGAAGATCTGGTGGAGACTCCCGATGCCCACGTGGAGCTGGCTCCATAAGCTCCAGCTGATGGAACAGCCCCTCTACCTGCTCTAAGTTGTCCAGCGCCAGAGTGGCTTCGCTCAGTGTGGTCTCCACGGGGGGCAACTGCTCCACGTTGTCCAGCGACAGGGTGGCTTCACTGAGGGTCGTTTCCACAGGGGGAAGTTGTTCCAGGGCGCCGGGGTGCAGCGCCCAGTTGGGCTCAGGCACTTCTGCGACTGCGTCGAGGTTCTCCCAGTTCTCCCAGTCCTCCTCGATGCTCTTGCCGAAGCCAGGCGGGCTGCCCGCCGCAGGCTGGTCCAAGATGTCCGCCTCGTTCATCACAAAAGAGGAGCGGATGCGCACAAACTCTGGGTCCTGCTCGCCACTTGGCAGTTCCAGGTCGTCAAAGAGGCTACGTCCTAGTGGCGCTTGCGGTGGGGTTGTCGCCTCCGGACTGCCCGCAATCACTGCCACAACGAATGCCGAGTCCGCGGACTGATCGCCGGCTTCCTGACTGCTGGACGTCATTTCCGACTCGTGCTCGTCGGCGGAGGGGGCCCCGCGGTGCACCACAGCAGTCACGGAGAGGGATGAGGTGCCGCCCTGGTCGTCGTCGGGGGTCAGAAGCTCGGGCACATCATCGACCGGATCGAACTTCACGTAGCGCCCGCTGTCCTTGCTCCTCAGCTGCGTCGACCTGGCCGCCTCCTCTGTCTGCTGTGCTGCGCTAATGAGTGCGTACTTCTCCGCAAAGTGATCGAAGTTGGGCATTCCCAGCTCGCTGGGCGGCTCGGGCGCCACGGCCACTGCCAGATCTGCTGGTGGCACCGCCCGTGTGGGCGGAGAGGGCGGCATGCGGGTGGGCGGCGCTGAATAGCTGTCAGAGTGGGCGCTGAGCACCTCCTTGCGGCGACGACGCTGTGTCTGGGGCGGTGCCCGGTACAAGACTTCGGCTGGCTCTCCCATTCGAAGGTTCGGCACACTTCCCGCCAAGTAGCTGTTGACTGTGGAAGAATGGAATGGAATGGAATGGCAGTTAGTGGGGGAAACAGTCTCACAATTTCACAGTCTTTACCCGTTGAAGTCGATGAAGGCCACGAGCTTTCGAATTCCTCGAGATTGCGCTGCCGGAACACCCCATGGACTGCATTGTCTGTGCCGTTTACCTGCAATCGGATCGAATCGAATCGAATTCAATCGAATCGAAGCGTTGAAAGTATGTTAGTTTTTGGAGAATTGCATCGCCATTGCATTGGCAGGGAGCGTGTGTGCACTCAGATGTGTGTGCATCAGCTGTGAATGTGGACTCAGCTGTTTTGGAGCCCCTCGAATGCCCACAGACCAGCTCCCATGCGATGAGGCACGCACAGCTATTCGTTGGAATATGGGTAGCCCCACTCTGCTGTGTCTATTCGGAGACCTCTAAAGGCGCACCAAAACTGAGAATATATATTCTTGAGCGGGGCCCCCAGCCACCCGTTCGTTTTTGATTTCGAGAGATAAACACACCAACATTCTATCGACTCGATTGAGTGAAAGTTGACTCTTTAGCAGCGATTTGCATTCCCCTCACGCGCCCATCTCTGCTCCGCGCTTTCAGACACCTGCGAGCTGCAAACTCCTCTATTTGCCGTGCCTTATCAGCAGGGGGTACAGCATTGGCACTTGTACTGGCACTGTCACTGGCACTGGCACTAGCCCTGCTATCGGGGTATCGCATTAACCTTTACGTGCTTGTCCAGCAGCTCTCTGGGCCGTTGTTCCGGACTCGCGGCATACGCACCTGTGACTCCTGGGCTGCATAGCGGGGCGGCGCCTGCTGGGCCTGTGCCGGGGATGATCTGGACGAGCCGCCGCTGCGATCGAAGGTCAGGCGACGCCGGAAGCCCCAGATTTTGATGCCGAGCAGGGCAAAGAGAAGGCCCACGAGCAGCATGGCGGAGGCGAGCATGGGGCCGACAACGGCATGCCGACCTGAAGCAGGATGGAGTTTATAGACGGATCGGGGCTGCGGGGCATCTGGGATAGAACTTACCTTGACCCACATTCTCGAGCTGAGCCATGGCTTTGTCTTACGCTGCTGGGGCTGGCATTTCAGCAGATTTCACGAATTTTGCACGAATTTCTGTCTCCTCCGTTGTTGTTGTGGCCGAATATATACGCTTACATATGTACATAACTTCACCACGTCGCTAATCGAACGACCCAGCGACAGCGGACGGCACTCGGGGGCTCCAGCTCTTCAGTTTTTGGCGTTCCGTTCGTCTGAGCGCCCGCTCGCTCGTTAACTGATTGAGCGTTGACGTTGCCGCCGCTGCTGCCGCTGCTGCCGTTGCCGCGAATGTTGCTTATCGGCCCCCGATTCGGGCCGATATCAAGCGCCAACCGACTCTCTCTCTCTATGCGTCTCTCTCTCTGCCCACTCCGAGCGGGTGTGCTCTCGCAGCGACACGACAGCGAAATCAGACCGCCCCAGTCACCGATTTATCAGGCTATTAGCGGTGTAACCTCTCGTACTACCGCGCTCACTGATAAGCAATCGGCCGTACAATAAATGCACATGTATGAGTTTATTTTGATTTGTCAGCACTACTGCACCCAGCACCCAGCACCCAGCACCCTGCACCCTAGGAAGCCCGTAGTGTTTGGTAATTGATGAATGCCTTTAAAAAAATCACAAACGACCCATCACATTTCCCCTTAAATACTCAGCCGGTTCTTTCCATCTGTTTAATCTGCAATCTGGTGTCTTTTGTCTTTTGTCTTTCAGTCTGCCGGCCGGCGTGCATGTGGGGCGCTCCAACATCAAGTCCGTGGCTGAAAAACGTCTACCTCTGATACAGCTGTTTCTGAAATCGCTGTTCGATGCGGCCGAGGAAATAGCCCACTCCGATCTGGTCTACACGTTCTTCCATCCGCTGCTGCGCGACCAGCAGGAGGCCAAGCTGGAGATGCCCAAGATGAAGGGTAGGACGGCACTCTCTGTCGCCAAATTGATTGAGCCGATATTTATTGATTGTATTTTGCAGAGGACAAGCGAAAGCCGTCGCGGGATAACCCCAATGAGATTGGACAGATCCGACTATCGCTGCAATATCAACGCGGCGTACTTACTGTGATGGTGGGTACACCAGTGACTCGAGAGCCTTGACCGTTGATCCTTGACCTGTGTTTGCTTTCCAGATACACCACGCCAAAGGGCTGCCCATGATACAGGGCGGTCAGGAGCCCAACACGTATGTGAAGTGCTACCTAAAACCGGACCCCAAAAAGGAGACCAAACGCAAGACCAAAGTTGTGCGCAAGACGTGTGTTCCCAGTTTCATGGAAACGGTGAGTGGTTTTTTTGTCTGGCTGTCCCATGAGCTCTATGGAACCTCTTCTCTCTCCCTTTAACCAGTTGGAGTACCGCATGCCTCTCAATATCATTCAGGAGCGTCGACTGCAGGTCACCATCTGGACACACGATACGCTGCAGGAGAACGAGCTGCTCGGCGGCTTCGAGCTGGACCTGTCCAAGCACGATCTGCGACAGGAGCTCTGCGACTGGCACCGCCTGGGATCGGTGCCGAGAAACGGATGAAAGGACACCATGCTTACCGACAATCTGGCCTAGGAATAAAGCAATACTAATTTACGTTCTCTTCTTTTTTGAACACTATAATATTTACATATACTCGAAGTGATTGTACATTCCACATTTATATTATATACAATTTTAACTCAATTCCGGTAGAAGTGTTATTCTTTTCTCAAGCTGTGCCGCTCACAGACATTCTTGCTAAAGTAATCCTCCAGCGGAACACTAACACCGGGTGGGCCGTCTCCAGGGATAGCTCTGGATCAACGTTCAATTTTCTTTTCCTGGGGCAGACAGTAGGTCTGTTCTCTTGAGGGCATTGCAGTATTACACAGATAGACATCATTGGCGAACAATTTGAGCGACTTTTGACTTGGACAGAGGATTAGTGGGGGAAGCTTTGAGGCAATGCGGATTTCGGATCGTTCTCCCGACCAAGGCTAGCTTGTAGAAGGAACCGATGTCCCTCGAGGGACGATGACTACTTGAAACAAAACCAATTTACAAGCAAATAGCAAATAGCGATAGCGAATAGGAAACTGTCGTCGGGGAGACCAAGTACTAAAAGTGTCTTAACAAATGAAACGATTATTGTAAAATATACAGATAAATATATGTACATATGCATAAGAACTTACACTGAAATCGACAGATTCTATTTTTATATCGATGCAAATTTAAAACTACATCTACCTGCGTATTTTTAACGAAATCAAAACCTTTTAACGACCTATTCATAAGCGATCTTTGTTTTCGTTTCGTGTATTCTGAATAAAACAAAGTTTATTAATACAAAGTCGATGTATAGACATACCAAATTATAATACATATTATACACACATTCTCTAAACAACATTAATCAGTTTTGTTGTTTTATTTGTACACTGAAAGGTTTTCTCTTATCTATCCTGTAACTAATTTGTCAAAAAAAGGTCCAATCTTTCGTTCTAAGGTCTAAACGAACCAAAGCTTCAGGCTTAGGCGGCGCACTGCTTGAAGCAGAGCTTCAGGCTGCACTGCTTGAACCAGACCTTCAGGTTCAGGTATTATAAGGGCACTGCTTCAGGCCTAAGCGGAGCTTCAGGCTTCTTATGGAAACGAAGGGCCTTCTTTCTGAATAGCTTGATCTCTAGACTGGATTTGTATAGCTTCGAACTGAGCTAGCCTTGCGCTTTAGAATAGGAAACGACCGTCTCGGCGTACTCGTATCTGTATCTGGAATTGTGAAACACGTTGATTTGGTGAAAGCTGTAACTAAAATTTAGAATTGAATTGAACGAACCATGGCAGCCACCGCCCCAGCCGCAGAGAATGTTGAGGTGATGAGCCAGGTGAAGCAGCAGATCGCACTGGCCAACGCCCAGGAGATGCTCTCGAAGATGACCGAGAAGTGCTTCAAGAAGTGCATCCACAAGCCGGGCAAGACCCTGGACGCCAGCGAGCAGCGCTGCATTTCGCAGTGCATGGACCGCTTCATGGATTCCTGGAACCTGGTCTCGCGCACCTACGGCAACCGCCTGCAGCGGGATCACTACAAGGGCGCCGCGGACATGGCCGACTAGGCCCCCGCTCGGCTCTCGTTAATCTGTTACTCATGCTCGAATAAAGCACCGCTATTGTTAGCCACTGTCTGGTGATTCGGGGCGGTCAGTGGATGATCGAGAGAGGTGGGCCACTGCCCCGGCCCCGGGCAACAGATAACCGACTGACTAGACGGGGCTTGTGGGCTTGCAATACCTGCAACTGCCGCGATCTGAGGGTGGAGGGTGCGGTGAGGGTATCGGGTATATCCCGTGCGGACATAGCCTTCTGCTTGATATGTGCACTTCTACTGATCGTTATCGTGTTTGGAATGGTCTCGTTAGCTAACGGATGAGCAACTGCTTGCGCGCATTGGCCAAATGCATTTCGCACCGGGATGGATGTGGATGTGGCTGGATGTGGTGTCCCCAAGCACAGCCAGGTGTAGTTTCGAGACCACTCTAATCCATTGCACCGCCCACCCATTTATGCAAATTACCGGCTATTTTATTTCCAGCCCCCAGCCGGGTTTCTTCCATCGAAAGGCAATCTATGTCATGTTTTTATATACCCCCCTCCTAGGCAAGTTTTTGGTGATCTTCTGATTGGCTCAACAAAAATGAATTCCTCTACATAACCCCATTTGAAAGGTGGCCTTGCATAATTAGTTCAGGAAGAAATTTGTACATTTTTTCGAAAAGATAATTCCTCCGAGGGCCGCCAATGATCCGCCTTTTGACCCCTTGATTCTTCAATTTAATGGCTATTTGGGAAAACAAATCGCTTCTCGAGAGAGAGTACTGTACCACACACACACGCACACGTTTTACCTCTGCGGGGAGTGGGGGGTTGGGGTCGGGGGTGGCCCACCCCCTAAGACCACTTAAATCAAAATTTCTACGGCCCCCCATGCACTTTTGTTGGTTTTCCACGCCAAACAAAGACCTCCGCGAGGGGCTATCAGGTTCCACTGATATGCGGGACAGACACGGGCAATTACGCAACATTTAGTGGGTGCAGGTGACCCCGTGCACTGGCCGAAAAATGCTGCAAATAGTTCAAAAATCCAAAAAAAACAGCTGAAAAAAAAAACAAAAAATCGAAAAATAATAAAAAATGCAAAAGATAAAATGCGATTTCGTGGCCGAACTTATTGGCTCGAATACCAGAGGTAACAAAATCCATTTCGGAGTTTTCCTCAACTAGGTACATTCGAAGCCACACAAGTTACGATAAGAGTGCGGACCAGAACGCCCCCATATCGTGTGGGATGGTGCTTTCCCACCCGAAAGCTCTACCCGCCACTAAAAATAGTAGCTTCGCCCACCGCCCACCGGCCCCCACTCGCGGCAGCAACAACAAGTGCCCCAAGGCTTGAGTAATCATTGCAAGAAATACGATAAGTGTTGAGACGACGGCCCCCCTTATCTGGACAACTAATCGGAACAGTTCGTCTGGGCCGGGCCGGGCCGGGCTGGGCCGGGCAGGGGGCAGGGGGCAGGGGGCAGGGGAAGGGCATGGGGGCGCCCCCGGGGCTGGGGGTACGCCACCTGCTGAATCGGTTACCTACAGCTACGGCCGACATTGGCGTCATCGCAAGGTGAAGCAGAGATAAAGGCGTGCTGACAGACCTATTACCGAATCAGATTAGAAACCCCGCCCCTCCCCCCAAGAGGGAGCCACATGCATGCCCAGTATCTGTCTACATATCTCTTGTCATCTCTTCGGTATTGTAAACGATCTGTGCTCCATCAGCCTCAATCACTTTGTATGCCCTACCCTGCCGGGGGGTCCAATCGTTTCACGAGAATAAACAAGATCTGACCATCTGAATATTCCATTTTATAGTATATGCCACAATGTGGAGAATTTTAGAAGGAAAGTGAAAATGTTCTATTTAATTTAATTAATATGGTTTGATTATATAAAAAAAAGGCTGTGTGTTCCCTTATACTTTTTACTAGGCATATATCATGAGTGCACGCCTTGAACTTGCTCGTACTCGTCCCCATATAGAGGGGAGAAGGTTCGCCCCTGGCCATGGTTCGCTCGCATTTTCTCAGAATGGAGATGCATCAAATCTGCAGCAAATCGTCAAGTGAATACACACTTGTGGACGTCTCTGCTGTAAATCTGTAGACCATTTCCGAACAGCTACAAGAGTTTCCGACAAGTGTAAAACACGAAGAAAACATTGTGCTGGTTACCCAACCATTTCTGCTAAAACCAATTTGTTTAAACTATCTTTTCTGTTTCGGAATGTCAGCTATTTGCGGCTGCATATCGCACTCCGATGGTCCATGCACCACTTGAGAGTGCCTTTCAGGGAATTGCTTTCGAGCGGAAGCCTGAAGCGGGTATATAAGAAGAACGTTGCCGCCTGGGCACGTTGCATTGCGTGGATGTACCTGAAAAATGCTAATGGGTAAGAACGATCGGAATCTGCCAAGGAATATTCGACTAAGCCCACTTGCCTTTCAGTAAATATCCTGTGGATCGGTCTTTGGATCGTTCCTCAGGCACTTGCCGCGGACTCATGTGCAGGACAATCATTTGGATACAGATCGGCGGACCCAGCAGACCCCCACTCGTACTTCCTCTGTCTGGGCTTCCTAGGCCAGATAAGGAGCACCTGCCAAGACGGATTCCGGTTCAGTGTCCAAGACCAAAGCTGCGTGCAAGGAGGCCAGGCAAGTCCTGGCCACTCCTTAGCAGACAAGGACCCCACCATCCACCAAAACGTATTCATTGACAGGCCGATGATTTTCAATTTTTTCGGTAACCTGTGGGGCAGCCCCCAAAGGCCGAATCCCTCCCTACCCCTAACGCAACCCCCCCAGACCACCCACGATCAGCAACAAGACCCGATACCCAGCGCAAGTTTCTCACTCTTAAGGGAAGTCATTTCTTCCCCCCAGGAGAACGAGCCAGACTCCAATGATGCGTCACCTACTCCAACGAATGAGGCATCGAGGTGTCGCTTTTTACCAAACGGTTCCTTCATAAGGGACTCCAAAAAATGCGGAGTATTTTACGTGTGTGCCAATGGGATCGGTATTACTCGATGCTGTCCAGAAGGTCTCCATTTCGACATCGTGAAGAGTTTTTGCAATATCCCAAGTATGGTCGACTGCTCTCCCGAAGAATTGACCACGACACCGTCCCCACCTACAACTTCGACAACGACAATTAGGCCCAGCCCTGCAGAACCATCATCCATGGAACCATCAACAACCGAACCATCTCCGGAGAGCTCAACAGAGCCAAGTAGCTCCAGCTCAGAGGAACCATTGTCTACGGAACCTTCTCCGGAGAGCTCAACAGAGCCAAATAGCTCCAGCTCCGAGGAACCATCTTCCACGGAACCTTCTCCGGAGAGCTCAACAGAGCCAAGTAACTCCAGCTCCGAGGAACCATCATCGACGGAACCCTCGTCCACGGAACCTTCTCCGGAGAGCTCAACCGAGCCGAATAACTCCAGCTCCGAGGAACCCTCGTCCACGGAACCTTCTCCGGAGAGCTCAACAGAGCCAAATCGCTCCAGCTCAGAGGAACCATTGTCCACGGAACCTTCTCCGGAGAGCTCAACAGAGCCAAGTAATTCCAGCTCTGAAGAACCATCGTCCACGGAACCCTCCTCCACGGAACCCTCGTCCACGGAACCCTCGTCCACGGAACCATCGTCCACGGAACCTTTTCCGGAGAGTTCAACAGAGCCAAATAGCTCCAGCTCAGAGGAACCATCTTCCACGGAACCTTCTCCGGAGAGCTCAACAGAGCCAAGTAACTCCAGCTCCCAGGAACCATCATCGACGGAACCCTCGTCCACGGAACCTTCTCCGGAGAGCTCAACCGAGCCGAATAACTCCAGCTCCGAGGAACCCTCGTCCACGGAACCTTCTCCGGAGAGCTCAACAGAGCCAAATAGCTCCAGCTCCGAGGAACCATCGTCCACGGAACCTTCTCCGGAGAGCTCAACCGAGCCGAATAGCTCCAGCCCTGAGGAACCATCGTCCACGGAACCTTCTCCGGAGAGCTCAACAGAGCCAAGTAACTCCAGCTCCGAGGAACCATCTTCCACGGAACCTTCTCCGGAGAGCTCAACAGAGCCAAGTAATTCCAGCTCTGAAGAACCATCGTCCACGGAACCCTCCTCCACGGAACCCTCGTCCACGGAACCCTCGTCCACGGAACCATCGTCCACGGAACCTTTTCCGGAGAGTTCAACAGAGCCAAATAGCTCCAGCTCAGAGGAACCATCTTCCACGGAACCTTCTCCAGAGAGCTCAACAGAGCCAAGTAACTCCAGCTCCGAGGAACCATCATCGACGGAACCATCGTCCACGGAACCTTCTCCGGAAAGCTCAACAGAGCCAAATAGCTCCAGCTCAGAGGAACCATCTTCCACGGAACCTTCTCCGGAGAGCTCAACAGAGCCAAGTAACTCCAGCTCCGAGGAACCATCATCGACGGAACCCTCGTCCACGGAACCTTCTCCGGAGAGCTCAACCGAGCCGAATAACTCCAGCTCCGAGGAACCCTCGTCCACGGAACCTTCTCCGGAGAGCTCAACAGGGCCAAATAGCTCCAGCTCCGAGGAACCATCGTCCACGGAACCTTCTCCGGAGAGCTCAACAGAACCAAGTAGCTCCAGCTCCGAGGAACCATCTTCCACGGAACCTTCTCCGGAGAGCTCAACAGAGCCAAGTAACTCCAGCTCCGAGGACCCATCATCGACGGAACCCTCGTCCACGGAACCTTCTCCGGAGAGCTCAACCGAGCCGAATAACTCCAGCTCCGAGGAACCCTCGTCCACGGAACCTTCTCCGGAGAGCTCAACAGAGCCAAATAGCTCCAGCTCCGAGGAACCATCGTCCACGGAACCTTCTCCGGAGAGCTCAACCGAGCCGAATAGCTCCAGCCCTGAGGAACCATCGTCCACGGAACCTTCTCCGGAGAGCTCAACAGAGCCAAGTAACTCCAGCTCCGAGGAACCATCTTCCACGGAACCTTCTCCGGAGAGCTCAACAGAGCCAAGTAATTCCAGCTCTGAAGAACCATCGTCCACGGAACCCTCGTCCACGGAACCCTCGTCCACGGAACCCTCGTCCACGGAACCATCGTCCACGGAACCTTCTCCGGAGAGTTCAACAGAGCCAAATAGCTCCAGCTCAGAGGAACCATCGTCCACGGAACCTTCTCCGGAGAGCTCAACAGAGCCAAATAGCTCCAGCTCCGAAGAACCATCTTCCACGGAACCTTCTCCGGAGAGCTCAACAGAACCAAGTAGCTCCAGCTCCGAGGAACCCTCGTCCACGGAACCTTCTCCGGAGAGCTCAACAGAGCCGAATAACTCCAGCTCTGAAGAACCATCGTCCACGGAAACTTCTCCGGAGAGCTCAACAGAGCCGAATAACTCCAGCTCCGAGGAACCATCGTCCACGGAACCTTCTCCGGAGAGCTCAACAGAACCAAGTAGCTCCAGCTCCGAGGAACCCTCGTCCACGGAACCTTCTCCGGAGAGCTCAACAGAGCCAAGTAACTCCAGCTCCGAGGAACCATCATCGACGGAACCCTCGTCCACGGAACCTTCTCCGGAGAGCTCAACCGAGCCGAATAACTCCAGCTCCGAGGAACCCTCGTCAACGGAACCTTCTCCGGAGAGCTCAACAGAGCCAAATAGCTCCAGCTCAGAGGAACCATCGTCCACGGAACCTTCTCCGGAGAGCTCAACAGAGCCAAATAGCTCCAGCTCAGAGGAACCATCTTCCACGGAACCTTCTCCTGAGAGCTCAACAGAGGCAAGTAACTCCAGCTCAGAGGAACCATCTTCCACGGAACCTTCTCCGGAGAGCTCAACAGAGCCAAGTAACTCCAGCTCCGAGGAACCATCATCGACGGAACCTTCTCCGGAAAGCTCAACAGAGCCAAATAGCTCCAGCTCCGAGGAACCCTCGTCCACGGAACCTTCTCCGGAGAGCTCAACGGAGCCGAATAACTCCAGCTCTGAAGAACCATCGTCCACGGAACCCTCGTCCACGGAACCTTCTCCGGAAAGCTCAACAGAGCCAAATAGCTCCAGCACAGAGGAACCATCTTCCACGGAACCTTCTCCGGAGAGCTCAACAGAGCCAAATAGCTCCAGCTCCGAGGAACCATCGTCCACGGAACCTTCTCCGGAGAGCTCAACAGAACCAAGTAGCTCCAGCTCCGAGGAACCCTCGTCCACGGAACCTTCTCCGGAGAGCTCAACCGAGCCGATTACCTCCAGCTCTGAAGAACCATCGTCCACGGAACCTTCTCCGGAGAGCTCAATAGAGCCGAATAGCTCCAGCTCCGAGCAACCCTCGTCCACGGAACCTTCTCCGGAGAGCTCAACAGAGCCGAATAACTCCAGTTCCGAGGAACCATCATCGACGGAACCGTCGTCCACGGAACCTTCCCCGGAGAGCTCAACAGAGCCGAATAACTCCAGCTCTGAAGAACCATCGTCCACGGAAACTTCTCCGGAGAGCTCAACAGAGCCGAATAGCTCCAGCTCCGAGGAACCATCGTCCACGGAACCTTCTCCGGAGAGCTCAACAGAGCCAAATAGCTCCAGCTCAGAAGAACCATCTTCCACGGAACCTTCTCCGGAGAGCTCAACAGAGCCAAGTAATTCCAGCTCTGAAGAACCATCATCGACGGAACCCTCGTCCACGGAACCTTCTCCGGAAAGCTCAACAGAGCCGAATAGCTCCAGCTCTGAGGAACCATCGTCCACGGAACCTTCTCCGGAGAGCTCAACAGAGCCAAATAGCTCCAGCTCTGAGGAACCCTCGTCCACGGAACCTTCTCCGGAGAGCTCAACAGAGCCGAATAACTCCAGCTCTGAAGAACCATCGTCCACGGAAACTTCTCCGGAGAGCTCAACAGAGCCGAATAGCTCCAGCTCCGAGGAACCCTCGTCCACGGAACCTTCTACGGAAAGCTCAACAGAACCAAATAGCTCCAGCTCAGAGGAACCATCGTCCACGGAACCTTCTCCGGAGAGCTCAACAGAGCCAAATAGCTCCAGCTCCGAGGAACCATCGTCTACGGAACCTTCTCTGGAGAGCTCAACAGAGCCAAGTAACTCCAGCTCCGAGGAACCATCATCGACGGAACCCTCGTCCACGGAACCTTCTCCGGAGAGCTCAACAGAGCCGAATAACTCCAGCTCCGAGGAACCCTCGTCCACGGAACCTTCTACGGAAAGCTCAACAGAGCCAAATAGCTCCAGCTCAGAGGAACCATCGTCCACGGAACCTTCTCCGGAGAGCTCAACAGAGCCAAATAGCTCCAGCTCCGAGGAACCATCGTCTACGAAACCTTCTCTGGAGAGCTCAACAGAGCCAAGTAACTCCAGCTCCGAGGAACCATCATCGACGGAACCCTCGTCCACGGAACCTTCTCCGGAGAGCTCAACAGAGCCGAATAACTCCAGCTCCGAGGAACCCTCGTCCACGGAACCTTCTACGGAAAGCTCAACAGAGCCAAATAGCTCCAGCTCAGAGGAACCCTCGTCCACGGAACCTTCTCCGGAGAGCTCAACCGAGCCAAATAACTCAAGCTCTGAAGGAACAACATCATCAACCGAGAAATCAGCCGAAAGCTCTGCCGTAATCGAAGCGGCTCCATCATTGCCCGTCCGTAGACCGATCAAACCAGTTTTGATGTCCAACCGTCCAGCTGTGTATGGTGGGAAGGACGAAACACAGAGTTCGGTGGGAAGTAAACAACTGCAGCATAATCGTGTGATGAGCACTTTGTCAGGGGGTTCTTCTCAGTTTCAAGAAAGAACAGACTGCAGTTTCCTCCCCACTGGAGCCTTCCTAAGGGATCCCACGTCGTGCAACAAATTCTATGTGTGTGTAAATGGAATGGCCGTTCCCCGGCGCTGTCCTAGTATTCTCTACTTTGACATCAAGAAGAAGGTGTGCAATTTCCCCAGCCTCGTGGACTGCTCTCTGGTGTCCAAAGATGCCCCGGTCTCCGTACTCAAGACACTTTCGCAGCACTCGGGTCTCATTGGGTCATCCAGTCAGGAAGTGGAACAGGAACCGATCCTTGAATGCAGCTCGCTTCCAAACGGTGAACTTGTCCGGGCTCTGAATTCATGCAGCAAATTCTATGTCTGCGCCAATGGTCTCGCCATATCCCGTCAATGTCCGAAGGGTCTGTATTTCGACATCACAAGGAAGATCTGCACCTTCCCCAGTCTCGTGGATTGCTCGATAGTCGAGTCGAGTCGAAAGCAAGTAAAACGGAAACCTGGCCAAGGTCGGGAAGGAGGCGCATCACCAGTGAAGCTGCATCGCAAATAGAGGAGAGCTGATCTTGTAGAGAAAGGATTAGTATTATTTGGTTTGCTCACAGTATTATTGTATTATAGGAACATGGTAAAAGGGTATCAGCATTGGGCTAGTAGGTATATAGTTATTCATACGTTTTCTGAGTGGTTACTGACTTACATAGTTATAGTTTACATGCACACACACACGTCACACTCCGATCTAGGCAGTTACAGAGTATTTTGGTTTAATACCCATTCCGCACTATGATATATTCAACGATTAAAGAATCTACAACGAAGAGAGAGACAGAGCCAGTCTGCCTCTGAAAGTATTTATATTCTTAGGAAGAGAGTGTTCAAACTATTCTCTGAGCTTGTAACGGTTGCGGTTGGGCAGTACTGATCCAGGGTAGGTTATTGCTATGGTGCTCGGGTATATCGCAAGCAATAACCTTGGGCCAATTATCGCTGCAGGGCATAGCATAGTTGGCGTGGGTGCAGGCAAGCTCGAAGTAGGGAACAGCTGAGCGAAGCTTCCGTAAGTGCTGTGCAGCGCATCGCAACGAAGCTTTCGACGCCGATCATTAAGATCGGTAAGCTCCTATTTAAGCAGTGCAAAAGCAGCAGAGCGTTCTCTTTTGAAAATTGGAATCTGTGCAGCTAGTGATTATCTCCGCGTCGGTAGCAAATATATAAAACGGAACGCCTCGCCTCCAAGAGTTTGTTTTGTCGCCAACCCGTGCGTCACACAGCTCTGCCAGGAGCAAACAGCACTCGTGTCTCCGTGGAAAAGTCGGAAAACTGGGCCCTGGCCACGATCGGTAGTCCACCCAGCTCTCACAAAGTTCTGCCCCCCACACCAAACTCCCACCCTTGACGGGAGTACTCTTCGAGAGTCTACCTTGGTGTGGGGCCGAGATTGTTTTTCCTCCTCTGGAAATCGTGGGAAAGTCCACCTGCCCGGCTACATAATCTCCACCGGCTATAACCCTTGCGCCATCCCGCACGGACGCGCATAGAGCGCATAATCCTAGCGATCACCCCCCCTCATTTACCAATCCCCCTCCGACCTGGGCACACATTAACCTTGTTTCCACAGCTCCACAACGAAAGGCGCCTTTCAGCGAGGGACCACTGTATTGAAGCTGTAAGTGACCCAATTTCCTTGTTCGTAAAAGGCATGCGCAGCGGCCAGCCTGCTGGCTGCTGATAAGAGAGCGCAACGCTTGCGTTCCCCACGCTCGAAGCTTATCGTTCTCGTCGTTGCCAATTCTGCTTTAAGCTTGCAGTGCTCGCTATCCATGCATTTTTGTAATGCAAAAAACATCTCCTTATCTCCTTAAACCAACAATCACAAAAATGTTTTTTTTCTATTTTTAATTAATTGCGTTTTGGCTCACCATGGCGGATCGCTGGTCGACCCCCGCGGCTTTTTATAATTATAATATCATATATTATATTCATATACCCTATCGTTTATATGTACATATATACATACATCTATAAATATCTAAAACTTTTCTATTCCTCCTTTAGTGATTAAGCCTCATATTTTTCCATTTCCGTTCAATTTTTTTTCCCTTGATTTACCTACTGGTTAATTAAAGACTTGTGTTTCTTCCGGTAGTGAAACTCTTGTATTAAGCCCAAATAAATATATTGAATTTTGTCAGCCATGAATATGGAGTAGACTTCTAATTTCCTAGTGACATGGTGACGTAATGGGATAGGGTGAGAATATTAGGGATTTCCAGAATCTTTCGCACAACTGGAAATCATGGAAGGGTGGGTACAGAATCACGCCCGCGATATTTTTGCAACACCCCGACGAAAGCCCCTAGTACTTTCGAGTACGCCCTATGTATGATTGTGCCATTTCATTTCGGTTATGCTCGGAATAGGCAAATTGTTGTTTTCGGAGTTAGCTCCCTGTAGAGTCACGGGATTCTAAAATTTTAAAGTTTATGTAGTAGGAGTCGAGACGCGGTCAAACGTTACCCCCAAGTTACCCGAATGAGCACGGAACCAGAGAATCCCCACCGGCAGTGACCTCGACATCCCCTCCAATCCATCCCCTACTGACGTATAGAAATATATCGTTGACATGTTACAAGCTGTCGCGGGAAAGATCCGCCTTTAACGAAGTATTATTTCGTGAAAAGACTGCTGTGACGATTAAAAGCCAAGGCTCTGTCCATTATAATTCAAGTCAAGCCGCCGTCAGCTCTATCTTTGTCCGTTCTCACGGCATGGCATGGCATGGCATGGCATGACTTGGGCCAGACGCTAATTTCTTTCTGCGGCGGAAACGCAGAGAGGGTACAAAGTTATCCCATTTAAATTTAATTACGAGATAAACGCATGTTTCTGATGTTTCTGACGTAGGCGCTTAGACTCGAATGCGCCCGCAAGTAGTCCTTGGGTGGGTGCCTTCCTCGGTTGGTGGTTACCTTAAAGCCACCTCGCGCTCGGCTATAATTAAATTGTCCAACCGAAGGGCGGGCGTCCTTTGTGGGTGGCAGTGGCTGTGGCAGAAGTAGAAGCAAAGGCAGACGAGCACTGACAGGCACTGTCGTGTGGCGGCGACAAATTACAGGACATGGCTCCGCTTGAGCTCAAACTCATCGATAGCCTGTCCCTGTCCCCGTCCCCATCCGTGTATGGCCCTGTACGGCCGTGGGGTAAGCGGGCGGCGTGAAATCGATTTGATTTCAAGGCAATTCCCAGACAACGAACGTACACAAGTCTCATGTTACGCTTGTCATTCGATAAGGGCTCCACTGGCTCCCACTGGTGGTCCCTTTGCCACTGCCATCCACCGGATCGGGGGCCCCAGTTTAAAGAGGTTCTCGTAAGGTGCTAAATATAATCAAGACGCTGGGCCGTGCCTCATTTCTGTTGTTTCTGTTGCTAATTCATTGAGATACGAATACGCTTTGGGGCGCCAAATTTGAGTACAGTAAACTGCGCCTACGGATAACAGAGGAAACCGAGAGAGCGAGTGGAGTGTGTGCGGAGAGAGAGAGAGAGAGAGAGAGAGCGGAAACATGAGCGAACATAGGGGTTCCCTGCCCAGAATGTCGCTCTATTGGTGGTTGATTGTGGGTTGGTTGCACTGCCACGCTTTCTACCCCCGAAGGCACCGGCAAGGGCTTCAGTTCTTTTTAGCTCCGCTCCGGGTCGAGTCCGTTCCGATTTCGCATAGAATATCTCTGATTATCGTGTGCCCAAGGATCAACCAAAGGGCCAAATATCGCCAACTGTGGCTGACGGTGTTGTCAATCGAAGTCGAGCGCCGATTGTAGTGTACGAGCTCTAGAATTTACTCGGTTTTCGTGGGAAAGTGGCTTCAAGGAGACATGTTGCCTGCCACCTTCCACCCAGCATCCCCACCTGGAGCCCAGTAGAGCCGTCCCGCTCGCACACAGCTTGCAATCGATAACCTTAACAGAGGGCTGCCCACTCGACGGCTCCGCAGCGCAGCGAGTAGAATTGGCTAAATGTTAGCTCCGACGAGAGTCGAGACGCTGAAATAATCGCATTCGCACGACCGGCGAGTGCTGGCAGCGGATGTTTGCAGACCCTTTTTAGTCGTCGCGCCGTTCGTTTCGTTTGTTCCGCTCCGCTCCGCACCGTTTCGTTCCGTTCCGACCCGATCCGAACCGTGAATAAGTGAGGCAAAGTGTGAATAACTTGTGAGTTTTGAACACTTTGTGAGTATTGAAAAGTGCATGAGATCGGTGCACATTTTTTTGTTTTTGTGAACGAGCAATAAACAGAGTTGTTTCTGGTGGAAGAGCAGTAAACGGAGTTTTTTTTGTTGGTGAATGAGTAATAATAGGCGACTTTGATAGGCGGCTCCGCCACCCTGGCGCGCCGTTTGTGTGAGTACAGAACGTACACGGACCTGCATCCGCTCGGGGCTGGGTGATTAAGGATTCGATCGAGTCCAGAGATAGCGGCAAGGGTGGCTAACAAGCCGCGACAGCCGCCCCTCTTTGGACGGCACACATAAAATATCAGTGCGGCAGGAACAACAACAGTGCGCATAATAAATACAGGCACGGTGTGTCGTAAAGTGAGGGGGAAAAGCAGCGAGTGAGAGGCATCGCATAGGCACGGCACGGCACAGCACCGTACAGCACGGCACGTCACCGTACAGCACAGCACAGCACAGCACAGAGTGGTGGCAGGAGCAGCAAGTGCGTCGGCGGCTCGGCTGGGCTCGGGGGTTGCTGCTGTTCCTCGCTGAGGTCATTTGCAGTCATTTGTCGCGACGAGCACTGTGCCCGCCGTGTGCCAGGGGGTTGATTTCGTCCACACCGGCACTTCGTATGTGTCTGTGTGTGTGTCGTGTGCCTCTGTGTGTGTCGTGTGTCGTGTGCCACTGTAACGGTTAATCTCATTCATCAGAGCGAGCACTGAGAACCGTAGCCGGGAGCCTAGTCGGTCGTCAAGTTGCGTTTTACACATTTTTACGCCTGCGAGTACTACCAGCGAGTATCGCAGTGAGCTGCTCGCTCTTTGTCTCTCTCTCGCTCGCTCTCGCTCTGCTTCTCTCTCACCAGCGAGAGCATTAGTTGCGCTGTTAAGCGTGTCGTCTCGCTTGCACTTGCCCCCGCTAGGCGTAGTGGTCGATGCCGAAGGTCCTTCGCGTATCCCCGTGTGTGTGTGTGTGTGTGTGTGTGCAGGAGTACATACCATCGTGCGAGTGTGTAAAAGTAGTGTCACGCACAGCACACACACAAACACACAGACACACATTTGTGTACGAGTGTGTGCCAGCACCAAAATGAATATGTGGCCTTCTCCGTAGTCGTAGTCGTAGTTGTAGCCGTAGCCAGGGTCAGGAAGTGTGGCAATGGAGTATTCCGTTTCGTTCTGCTTCCATCCATCCTCCCTCCTCCCGCCCCTGCCCCTGCCCCTGCCCTGGACCACATTTCAGTTTAGCATTTTCTAATTTATATATTTTCGACCCTATCGTACGAGTACTCGCAGATGCTTCAACGCACAGAGCAGAGCATCTCGACAGGTGATTTATTTTTGTCCGCACTCCATTAGCTCCCCGTCCCCCCTGCTGCCCGCCTCCCCCATCATCGTCACATGGGAGACCCGTGCAAATACGAGAAGTACATCTCTGCCACTGCCGCTGGACACGCCAATCGGAGGAGCTGGGTGCCGGGGAGGGGAGGGACTCCGCACTGCCATGCGTATTAATCATTAGCATGACCTCGACCCTTTCGTGCGTCCAGCGCCAGAGCCCCAGCTCCCAGATCTCCCTTTTCGATAGAAAACACGACTTGACGGGTCTGACGCACAAATGAGGAAGCTGCCAGAGCAGCAAAAACATAAAAATAAATAAATAAATTTGATTGGGATTGCGGTTGGTCCTGGAGCTGGAGCTGGAGCTGGGGGGGCTGGGGTCTCGCCCCGCCTATTAATCTGCCACAGGGACTTGCCCAGAAGGCAAATCGACGACGGGGCTTTGATTTTTCGTATTTGCTCGCCGCCCTCCGATAGCTCCAGTCATCGTTGCGTCCGTCTTGGGACCGACTCAGCTGTCAGTCGTTGGGTTTTCGTGTCAACACTTGCACTTAAAGCCCCCCACAGCCATCATCCACCATCCCTCATCCTTCATTCTCCTTCATTTCCCATTCCGTAATCGCAATCCTATCCCGTAGGAATTCCATGATTTGGCACTTTCCGGGGCTGCCTAAGGCAATAAGGATAGGAATTCTATGTGGGAGTACAAGAACATTTCATCTGAGGAATAGTCCAAAGACTGGGTCTTGTTTTCATTCGTCATCCTAAGAGATTTCAGAGAGGAATAGAGCAAATAGGAAAATATTAATCTCCCATCTAGAGGAATAAAGTTTATTAATCATTATTACCAATTAGGCAGCCGTTCCCCCCCCCCCCCCCCCCCCCCCCCTGCCTCTTTGCCGCCCCATCACCACACAAGAATGGAAAATGTATCTGAATCAATAAACCGACACCTCATCGAAGTAGGAGAACCGGAGTAAATGCAGCGGAAAATGGCTTAAAAATACAAACACCCGTAGTCCTCCGCCTCCCCTCTTGTCTCTCACCGAGAAATAACTCATTCGCCCAGGGAACACGAGGGAGCAGTCACCTACCCAGACACCCAGCAATCCACCCACAAAACCACACACATATACTCCTGTCCCTGTCCCTGTCCCTGTCCCTGTCCTGTCCCTGGCCTGTCCTGGCCGTGGGGCTTGGGGCTGTTGTGGCTGTTGGCAGCTCAGTTCCGTTCAGTACTCGGCAGACAAATGGACGTGCCCGGTGCAGACGTGAGTCAGACGCGAGTGCGGACACGGCAAAGCATATGGGGAGCAGAGCAGAGCAGGCAAATCCGAAAAAAGGGGGAAAAATCCCTACCCTCTTTGGCAGAGCTCGTAGTCTGCAGGCATAAAGTAATTTCTTTTGTTTTTAACGTCCTGCAGTTAATACATTTGCATTGTGCACGCAAAGGCACGCACACACCCGCCCCCCTCCCCCACCACACACCCCACACCCCACAGGATACCCAGACACCCAGACATGTGGGTGTTTTCGGAATGCTCTCCCAGACAGAACAAAGAGCTTCCCGTGCCGCACACCTCGGCAGTCCTTGGAGTAGTCCCCGGTAATCCAAAGCGAGCGTTTCTCGAGCTTTTAGCGCGGCAAGCCAAAGAGTTTCTCCCTCTGCACCCTCTGCACCCTGTGGACAATCATTATGGTTCCATACGGGTACATAAATATTTATTGTGCACCCGTGTGCATATGTGTTTATGCCACAAATTCAGCGTCCTGTCCGTTGGAGGGGCCCACCGATGGGTGGGCTTCCAGATGGCTGACAGAGATATTGAGTTTGATTCATCAGCAAAACGAGTAGAGTACGAGTAGAATCGATAATGTACTCGTGACGGTGGCCATTGGTAGCCTCTAAAGCCTTTCTAGGGCTGGGAGGGAGCTCTTTGTTCCACCATTTGTTGGAGTCCCAACCCAGGCAATGCGTGTCCCTGCTTTCATCACTAATGTGTCTCCACTGTCTCTGCTGTGTGCCCCTTTCGGACAATGCGATCGCGACAAAAGGCAAATCAAGCAGAGCACAAATCCACACGAGTGTGGAGAGAGTGCCCCCCCCCAACACACCCGCCCCCCAAGCGGTTCGGCGATGAAACCCCACAGGGCCATTAATTGTAAGTCGTCTAGTTTTTTGTCGCCACTTCGGACACACTATCGCTGGCCACCCCTCCACCCCGCCATCCTGCCTCCTTTTTGCGACTGGTCTGTTCTTTTAGTTGTGTTTGTAATTTATGCGGCTTCCCCGGCCGCCTCCGGCTCCCTCCCCGCCCCACCACACTCCATTCCATTCCGTTCCGTTCCTCATTAGAGCTACGGAAGAAGGCGCATAACGAGAGCCGTATTTCAAGCCCCCTTCCCCTCCCCCTCCCCCTGCCCCATCCCCGGCGAAAATTATCCTCCCAGATTCGAGTTGTGCAAATTGTGAAATTAGAGAGCAATCAAGGCGTAAAGTTTACTTGTTATTTCCTGGAGGAGGCACACCGAATGGGGGCGAGAAAATATATATATTTTCTAATGTCCTTTCACGAGCCGGAAAAATCGGGTTGCCATGGCGGCGGTGGCGTCGACAATAACAACAACAGAAAACCAGAGAACAGAAGAATAACAGCCATGGAAATGCGGAAATGCACAACAGGCTTTGGGGATACGAGTAGACATACATACATACGAGTAAATACACATGTATGTGTCTGTGTGTGTGTGTGTGTGTGTGTCCTGAAGAGCAAATCGCATGTCAATGACCATCTTCTGGGAAAACGGTAAAATCTTTTGCCTGTTTGCCAAAGGCTTCCCCAGAATCTGTTTGTCGAGGGAGGGACTGCTTTTCATGTCCAGCACTTTGCGAGTTGTCGTTGTCGTTGTCGTTGAAAAGTCCCTTCGAAGATCAAGAACATCCTTCTGAGATGAGTCGAGAACAGGGCCTGCCCGCTCCTCAATCAATCCAGCTTATAGAAAGCCGTCAGCCTTCGATGTCCCTGCAAATGTACCCTGAGATGGGGCACAGCTCTGGTGGAAAGTCAAGGAAAATGTAGCCAGAAATATCAATTCTTATGGAATACACGCCACTATATGTACATCCATATGTATGTAGGTCTCTGCGTCCCTATGTACATACTTCAGTGGGGCTCGGGGGGGCTCGTGGTGCTCGGGGGGCACGTGGGGAAGTGCCAGGCGCAGAGAATAAGTGGACTACAAAGAGGACAAAGTGAAAAGCTATAATCAGATTTAATTAAACACGAAATTGGAGCACTGCCTCTGCCTCTGCCTCTGCCTCGGGCTCTGCCTCTGCCTCTGGCTCCTTCGCTGGGAGGCACAGCGTATGTGTGCCTCACGGTGCCCGGGTCCGGTCCCCAGTTCGCACTTGGGTGCTTGATGCATGTGCTGTTGTATGTTGCATTATTATGTCGCAGGACATGCGGCGACTAGCGACTAGAGGGAACGTAGCTCCCCTTCTGATGGAGTTGGAGTGGAGCCAAGCCTGCGGCAGGCTGGCTGGCCGCTCGGACTCTCACGTGGCTGCGCTTCAGTGATAAACCGCACCACGGGTCGTATGCGTAATAATTCATTGTGTTTATTCCTCCCCTCCAGAGCACAGAGGGGGGATCCCCCAAGAATATGGAGCTCTGAGGACAGAGGAGGTTCCCTTGGAGGCTCCTTTCTCTTCTCCCACTATCCTTTTGCTATCCTTTACACAATACATGACTCTAGCCGTCCACAAACTGTCATCGCCCACTGTTTGCCAGCGGCAAGCTGCTCTCCCCCTCTCGCCACCCCCCTCTTGGAACTCAATTTGGTCTAATTCGTCTTTTTGTTTGCAGAACGAAATTGGAACGAGGATAAAATCCGTTAATGTCCATCGCGCGAAATGAGGAGACAGCCGCTCCAGCGAGGAGGAGGAAATTCATAAATGAAAGCTCCTAATTGCCGAAGAATGACGGACTAAGGGGAACAAAAGCAGAGCAAACTTTTCGGCCACAAACATCAGCAGCGGCAGCGGCTGCGGCAGCGGCAGCGGAATCGGTGGAACCGCGAAAATTGTGCCACCGCAGAGGAAGCGCAGAGGATGCTGTTAATGCCCACATCGTGTGGGCCGGGGCCACCCGCGGGCCCCAATGGCGCGGGAGCTGATGGCGGCGGCCCAGCGGAGGTCGCCCGACGAAGGACGGCGGCATCGGGCAGTCCCAAATGGCTGCTAATGCTGCTGATGCTCTTTGCCATTCTCGCCCGGATGCCGCACAGCCAGGTGGCGGCTGAGAAGAGCAAGCACTGTGAGTATCACCTATAGATATATACCATACGAATCCCCCACTGACTGGACAGCTAGTCCTCCAGCAAGACCACAGAGGAGCCCGCCAGCCCACATATGTACAGCCCCGTTTGGCATTTTTACGTTTAATTTAAATCAAAAATCGACAAGCTGGGAATGTGTGTCCCCTCCCCTCCCCTACCCACACCACCCCTCCCCACCCACTTGGGTGCGCCCGTTGGGTCGATGTCGAAGAGTCATCTCGCACAATAAAATCTGTCAGCAGCTTAGTTTTATGTGTGGTTTCTTCTCTCGAGAGTTTTTCCGATTTTTCTTCGCTCGGCAATAAACATTTGTTTGGGGCAGAGGCGAGGGCGGGGGCGTGGGCGTGGGCGGGGGTGCATCAAAAGATGAGAAGAAATGTAAATGGACGGACGGACGGACGGACGGACGGACGGACGGACGGACGGACGGACTACAATACGCGTAAAAAACCGACACGTATGTGTGTGTGTGTGGCGTGTGGCATTGTGGCATTGTGGCACATTGTGGGTAATTCATTCAGTTGCCGCAAATGGTTTATGTTGCAAATAAAGAACAAATAAATATAGTTTTACGATGCACTGTCCGTACGGGTCGGACGTGCATAGGCATATATTTGGGGCATATACGGGCCCCGAACGGGAGCAAAGGTCACAAGAGTCCTCTTCACGTGAATTTCGAGGACTGGAGTTTTATTTGGGCTTAAGCCACCAACAAACAGCCAGCACAGATGGCCACAACAGGCAGGAAATTTGTGAAAATTAATCCAATTAGTTTTCGTACAGCAAAGACATGCCAATAATTCACTTTAAGACTATTACGCCCCCAGGCCCACGTTTAGCCTGGTAAGTAATCCAGACGAGTAGGAGTAGGAGTACGGGTTGGAGCCTAATGTCGGAAATAGTCCGATTATGAGCCGGCTGAGGGAGCAGAAAGTATCGTATGTGCCCACGTGTATGGTTTCCTGTGCCCCTCCGAGGGGCGTGCACCAACTGCACCGCCGTACAAGTAGCAGCCGCAATTGCCGACCCATGAAATGGAAATTACTCAGGCGGCGCGCGTTGCATCCTCCCGGCGCGAAAGTTGTTGCCGCAAATTATTTCCGTATTCCAGCATTAAATCATAATTAAAATTTCAAGTAAAACAACTTACATGCCAGCCGTCGGGGGAGGGGCAAAAGTTTCCTTGTCGAGGGCGCAGAAAAAGTTCATTGCATACTTATTTGGGCTTGTTTCCGGTTGCCGCCGAAGCGTCTGCCGCCGCCTAATTGCAGCCTCCTCCACAAAAAGCACAGTCGGATGACGAATGTGCCTGCTGACGGGGATTGGGCCCCCCCCCCCAATAGATGGATCATTTCCGAGGGATTGGTGGAACACCAACTGGAAAGTGGAAACTGGAATGCCTGGAGTTCTTCTCCTTACTGATTCCGCAAACATTTATCCAAGAGTGCCTCTCCAGCCTTCCAGAAGCATCGAACCACTGTTCGTGGGCCTGGTTTTGGTGTCTTTTTGCTCATTTCCGGCGACAAGAACGGACACGCTTAGTTGCACTCCCCGCTGTCACTGTCGCTGTCGCTGCTCTGCTCTGCTGATGCTGCTCTTTGCGTTGCGGTGTTTGCTGTGGCAACACACACACACACACACACACACAGATACAGACAAAGTCGGTAGCCAAAGGAGGCATCGCCTGTCCTCGGCAGACTTGTGGCCCACGTGGCGTGTACTTAATTTCTCATGCCCCATGCTCCATGCTCCATGCTCCATGCCGGGGCGCGTTTACTTTTTTACCGGCCACATACTTAGTACGTGTTTCCCCTTCCCCTTCCACTGCTGCTGCCCCCCCTGCCCCATCGGCGTCGCCTCTGCCGGCGGCAGCATTGAAGAAGACTTTTCAACTCGTTCAACAAAATTGTGCACAAAAGTTTCATAATTAATTTCATGTTAAGTGGCAATGCAAAGGAAGGGCGGTGGCGGTGGCGGGGCGTGGCCTGCCTGCCACAGTGCTCTCCTACGTCCCCCCCCCCCCCTCCCCCCGATTTACTCTTCTTCTCCACCCCTCGACGGCTGGTGCCTTTAATTTGAATTGTCATTTCCTCTGTCCTCTGTTTCTTCAACACTCTTCTGCCCGCCACAGAAGCACCGGTGTCGTCTGCCTGCCATCCGGTTGCCAGGCACAGCCACAGCCACTGCCACGCCCCCACCACCCCCCACCAGCCCCCATCATGCCGCACGTTCAACTTGATTAGCGTAACTTATAATGACTCGCACGAGCAGCGACTCTCGTGTGGCAAACTTGTTGGCTGTTGTTCTGTGGCTCCCATTCCGAGCTCCGTGTTGCCCAAACACTTGCAAACAGTTACTTACAAAAGTAAATACACAGATGGAGATACGGGGAGATGTGTGTGTGGGGCGGGGGGTGTGGCGTGTGGGGCGGGGGCACATTTGCAAGTGGTTTTCATAATTACTTTGTGTGAGTACTTCATACGATTCCAACTACGAGTGCACGAGGCAGGAGCACACTTCGCCAGGAATGGCCATCGATAGTTCATTCCTGCTGGTGCCCACTGTACCCGGAGACTCCCCTCATTCGAATGCCTCAGATATTTATTTCGTTGAGCTGGAATTTTATTATAATGACAGCATTGCGTATGTTTTGATAAGGGATCCGATCCAATCCTGACAGCACGCACGCCCATCCCTCTCCCTCTCGCTCTCGCTCGCCCCATGCCACTCCCTCTCCCCCTCCCTCCCTACCATCCCCCCATTGTGTGATTCTTTTGCAATATTGCGAGCATTATACGTTTTTATAAAATATGTCACGTTGCCTGGTCTTCCCTGCACCCGCCCCCGCCCTCGCCCCCAACCTGTTCCCCTTTCCCCGATGGCCGACTGCCAATAAATTTGTGAGAAAAACAACTGTCGACGTCGAAGAAGTGGCATAAAACTTTTGCTCTTTGTGTGGCATAAATATGAATGAATGGATTTGCTCCTGCAGTGGAAGGACCGAGCAAAGGGGGGAGGGGGAGTGGAAGGGGCAGTGGGACCAACTGGTCCACTGCGGCATGTACATCGAGGGACGAGACCAGAGCCAGCCAGGGTCCTGGGGGTCGGGGGCTGGAGGTTGGGGGCTGAAATGATGAAAAGGAGCCAAAGGCTTTCCAGGGGCAATAAATTTTAATTTTCTTAAAATCCATCCGCATACGAAATGAGATTCGTAACAAGCCGCAGCCGCACCATTTCTGGCTCTGTCTTTGGCTCTGTCTTTGGGTCTGTCTCTGTCTTTGGCTCTGTCTTTGGCTCTGTCTTTGGCTCTGTCTTTGGCTCTGTCTTTGGCTCTGTCTCTGGCTTTGGCTCTGTCTTTGGCTCTGTCTTTGTCCATGTCTCTGGCTCTGTCTTTGGCTCAGTCTTTGGCTTTGGCTCTGTCTTTCTTGGGTCTGTCTTTGGCTCTGTCTTTGGCTCTGTATTTGTCTTTGGCTCTGTCTTTGGCTCTGTCTTTGGCTCTGTCTTTGGCTCTGTCTTTGGCTCTGTCTTTGGCTCTGTCTTTAGCTCTGTCTTTGGCTCTGCCTTTGGCTCTGTCTTTAGCTCTGTCTTTGCTTCTGTCTTTGCCTCTGTCTTTGGCTCTGTCTTTGCTTCTGTCTTTGGCTCTGTGTTTGGCTCTGCCTTTGGCTCTGGCTCTGTCTTTGGCTCTGTCTTTGGCTCTGTCTTTGGCTCTGTCTTTGGCTCTGTCTTTAGCTCTGTCTTTGCTTCTGTCTTTAGCTCTGTCTTTGCTTCTGTCTTTGCCTCTGTCTTTGGCTCTGTCCGGATCCCCACTTGAACGCTGATGTTCGATATATCTAGGCGCATGTATGGACTCCGACCATGCTCCTTATTTAATCCACAGTACGTTCAATCATTGATTTTCCAGATCTATTTATGGAACGGTGAATCTGCTCAGTTCGGGGGATCTTTTGTTCTACTCGCAGCGCCGCCATAAATCCTGCCCGGGCGACCATGATTCAGCTGCTTAGCGATCCTTGGCTGGCGGGTCGGGTCACAGTCAAATGCGCAGATAAATGTTTATGGAAGATAAATTGCAGCGAGAGGACACAAATCGGGTGAAGCATAATAAATTCCATTTGTAGTGGGCTTCTATGGGGGGGAGGGGGGAGTGAGGGGTGCAAATAGGGAGCCAAATCGACTATTGATGCGTTGGCATCTCGCGTGGCACGGTGGCAGCGTGGCAGGGTGGCAGGGAGCTGCCACCGACACTGCTTGTTTGTTGGGTCCGAAAGGGGGGTGGGGTGGGGTGATCATTTATCAACATTTCGGTGGGAGAGGGGGCAAGTAATCACTTGCCATTCCAAACCGCTTCATGCACACATAATACCACGAGTATTGTCGATTTTGTAGAGCTCGTGGCACTTTCGCGTCTCGGCAGATTGGGGAATCCCTGTTCCTGGGATCACAGATGACCCCCTCTGCGGGCAGGCCCCCCTCTCTCTTCCCAGAGGGATAATTCAAGCTCAAAGGAACTCATCAGCGCCGAGGCGCTCCACCAATCACTAATCTCACTTGTTCTGGCCGCAACAAGCCCTCGAAAGACACAGGGCTGCCCCAAAACTTCCCGGCACGACTTTCCCTTATTTATTTTTGGGCAATCTGTGGACACAAGAAGCCCCGGACAAGACGACGAGGCGTAGTCCTGCAAGGAGCGGGCCACAAAAGGACATGCACCCTCCGCCCTCCGCCCACCGCCCTCCGCCCGCCCGCATTGTGCCTCCGGTTAAGCACACGAATCCCTTTTGTAATCAAATGCACAGAAAATTGTATTCCATTCAACGAAAATGCCGAGTCCCAAACCTCTTTCGTGTCCGCCGGATGGGGCTTTGTATCGCCGGCGCTGTGTGGCGCTGTGTGCTGGTGGGTGGGGCGCCGTGTGTGGGTGCGTGATCCACTTAGGCGGTGCGGAGGGGACTCGCGCGCCCGCTAAACAAAGCCGTAGAATTATCTGCCCGGAATGGGCAGGGCAGGACGGGGCGTTGGAGGCGTTGGAGGCGGCTCCGGGCGGAGCTGAAAGAAAAATATTACCAGAAGAAGCTCGTAGACAATAGCCCGGCGAAATGCGAAATGCGAAATGCTCGTAAGTAAGCAACAATAATGAAAGAGAGAAAAGAAAAACAACAGCAACAATGGCGTAATAAACTAACGGCAAAGTCGATCCCAGCTCGGATCCCGAAACTATGCAAAAAGTTTTCTCTTTGTTTTTCGCGTCGCAGGAGCCAAAGAAGAGCCCAAGAAAAAATTCACAAGACGGCGACGAGGAAGCGAAAGATTCGCCGTGGCTTTTGCAAAAAAAAAACAAAAAAAAATAAGAAGAATAATTTTCGAAAAATAGTTAAGCCCCTTTTATAGGCCGGAGCCGGAGTCCAGGCCAGGCCAGATGGGACCTGGGCCCCTGGGGGGAGGGGCAAGGGGCAGGGGGCAGAAATTTAATTAACAATTTGCGAAAGGCAAATAAACAAAGGCGCGCCGGCAGGGCTTCCACACGACCATCAGTTATCCTGGCGGACTTCTGCCGACTCCGGCAATGATCTGCTGCCCGGATTGAGTGTCCGGCTAGCCGGGCCGACAAGTTGAGAGCTATTTGACAAGTTCTTAGTGAAAAGTTGAGCCTGGCATAATTAAACTGGTCCGCTGCCCCCTGCCCACTCGCCCCCACTCGCCCTTTGGCCCGATTGCCAATCGCAACTGCCAAAGTTTGTTCAATCATAAAATGGGAAAAGAGAAGGAACCCAGTTCAATCGGGCCGGACAAGTGTCCCAAGTCCGTCCTCTTCTCAGGGAATTCCCGGCAAAAAGAACTTGCCAAACTTTTGACTATTCAAACATTATGACAGGCGAGGCGACAATTCGCTTGATTATGGCCCAGGAACGGAATGGAACGGAATGGAATGGAATGGAATGGAACGGAAGGAAGGACGACGCGTCGGCAAACTTCAATGAATCTTATCGTCTGGCTGGGCCATTTCGGGCCCCCTATCTCCTGGCTGACGCCTATTTCACAGTTCTTTCATTAGTTTGGATGGCACTTCATCTTCGTTGCACGCTCGAGTGACTCAGGCCGCCTGCCCCGCCTTGCCTCCCTGCCCCGCCCTGCCTCCTTGGGCAAACTGCTGCCGCTTCTCATGTTTGTTTCCCCAGCAGCTGGCACCAGAAAAAGCAGCTCTCGCTTATTTTCTTTATTGATTCACACCTCAACCTCCTCCACCTTGGAGTCCTCCAGCTGCTTGAACTGCACCAAGATGACCAGATACGTGGTGACGGCCGAGAAGATCTTGAAGAGCGTCGAGTTGTCGATGGCGAAGAAGCCGTAGGCCGTGAACTGCACCTCCTGCTTGATGCTTTTGGTGAGGAACTTGTCGATGATGTTCTGGAACTCCTTGCTCTTGCCGTAGACGCGGGCCAGGATCTGGGAGGTGGTGTTGGCCGCCGAGGCCAGGCAGTCGCAGGAGCTGCAGATGACGGCCATGGTGACGGTCTCGGCCAGGACCCAGGCGCAGGACAGGCCCATGGTGTCGGCCAAGTCCGCGTGCTCGCTGGACGACCTGGCGGTCAGCGTGGAGAAGGCCAGGTAGCTCTGGTTCGTGACCGTGTAGAAGGCGAAGCCGAAGAAGAACAGCAGCCCCACGCCGGCCACCGAGTTCATGTTCTCCGTGATGTAGCGCAGCTTGCAGAACACCTCGATCAGGTTGCTCAGCTCGCGCCAGTTCTCGCGGTCGCTCCTCCGCCCGCCGGGGCCCTCCTGGCGCGTGAACGCGTCCAGCCGCCGGTTGAGGAACTCGATGCGCAGGGCCAGGCTCTTGAGGACGGTGCGAAGGTAGACGGCGAACACGCCCGAGTAGAGCATCTGCAGGCTGTAGACCAGCATCAGGACGCACTGCCGCCTGGCCCCGATGCCGCTCAGGATGTGCACGTAGTAGAAGGCCACCAGCACCACGCTCGTCGAGGTCGCGGCCACCAGGGCCCCCGGCAGGCGGCAGCTGTAGCTCTCCCTGAAGCCGTTCGCCTCCAGGTACTCGTCGATCCTGGCCACGTCCCGCAGCGTGCCCCAGTGCTTGGACGCGTTGTGCACGCCGGAGAGCACCATCATCGTGTAGCTGCAGATGCAGAAGAGCGTCTCGATGGTGCGATTGATCTCCTCGGTGTCGCCCAGGGAGCCGGCCACCAGCCTGTACTCCTGCGAGGCGAACAGCACGTCCTGGCACAGCAGCGCCGAGCTGACCAGCAGCAGGGCGGCCACCCCCCGGCCGTACCACCGGCCCCATCTGCCCAGCCGAAAGTTATCCTCATTCTCGCCGCTGAAGAAGGGCAGCAGGCCACACACCTGCGTGGGCAGGGCCATGGCCCTGATGTCGTCCAGGATTTTCATTCCGTCCGTCGTCTGTTGTTGGTCCTTTGAGCAGCAGACACAGTATGGCGGACTCGAGCGGAGGTCTGGCGGCCTGGAGGCCTGTAGGCCTGGTTCCCGGTTCATTAGCTGAAATTGACAGGCATTTAATAGACCTCTGCGTAATGGAAATGCCGTACATTAGCAATCGATCACCTGCCTGCACTATTGCTTTCGCCATTGATTCCTCGCCGAGTCCAGGGGCTCATCGGCGGGTCCCTTCAGCTGCAGTTTCGGGTGGAAAGTGAAAATTCATTGGGTAATTGCTCATAATCGTGGAGCTCGAAAGCGGCTCCCAATGCGTCCCGCAAATTGGCCAATTACTTTGACAAACCGTCGACGGTGGACGGTGGACGGAGGACGGAGGACGGAGGACGGTGGACGGTTTGACGGACAGCCCCCGGGGACAGGCGTGGCCGTGCAGGGATTATGCTCATTATGCAAACCGCCGGGAAGTGCGGCGGCCACGCCACGGATGAGCGGCGCTGGATGGAAATGGCAATGGAAACGGAGGAAATCGCTGGTGCGAAAGGCATTTACTTCAATTATTTCATTAGGGCAGCGACGGAGGCAGCGAGTGGAGGCAGCGGCAAAGCAAAAGCCCGGAGGCGTCATCTGGCCCAATCCGGGGCCGAGTCCACAAAAGATGCCATCGAATTTTGGTCGCGCTAATGGAGCGTGTGAGTCCGGCACCAGCTGTCGGCCGTCGGCTGTCGGTGGTCGGCTGTCGGGGCCAGGCTCCAGCTTAGTCAACCGAGAGCGAGGGCCTGGGACATGGCGAGTGGAGCCGAGTAGCCGAGGAGCGGTGGGTGGGACGATGATGACATCACACGGACGCCCGGGGTCATTGGGGGCCAGCAAAATTCAATATTGGAGCACAGGAAATTCATTGTTTAACCTTTGTTGCTTAAATTGCTCAAATTCCTGCCATTAGTTTGACAAACGAGCCAGCGAAATTATTTTGTTGCAACCAACTTGCCCCGGCACATCCGGACCCGGACCCGGACCCGGACCTGGACCTGGACTGCAGGAGGACTGAGGCGGGGGCAGATGATCGAAAACCGAGCAGATTTCCAGGCAAAGTTTTTGCCACAAAGCACCACAGCATCCCATACCATGCCATGCCCCGATGGCTCCGGGGCTTTTGGGGCACGCACCGAGCTGGCTCCTGCTGTGGTTTCGGTGCGTTCCGTTGTTGCTGCTGCCACTCCTTGTGGCATCTACGGTAGCAGCATCCTCGGATATGCCCGGCTTCGACTCAGCAACTGGGGCTCCACTGCTGCAGATTTATTTGCGGTTTTGCATAATCACTGAAAATTAGTTTAAAACATTTACATTAAATTTGCATTTCAATGTCGGTGGTTGCGTCGGGTTAGGTCAGGTTGGGTTCTGGGTTCGGTGGAAGTCTGCGAAGGTCTGTCAATGGATGTTCGGGGAACCCTCTGTTCTTGGAGACTGCCCTCGGGCTGTAGTGCGTCTGAGAACATTAATGCGATTACCGATTCGTTAAAACTGAGGCACATTCGAGTTTTGAATTTCTCAGACAGGACTTTCGTACAATGTAGTCCTCCTGGACTCCTGGATTGAGGCCCCCGAAATTGTCAGAACTCCATAAGCCATTAAGTTATCTACGTGTTTGCTGGGAAGTCCCTTAGGAGGCCGACTGCAGAAGCCTCAGACGCATCCTTGCGCTGCATTTTGAGCACACATTGAGGATGTTTGTCCTGCTCCGTGATTATACGTGCCACGTACCCTGGGCGGGGCTCCTCCCTGCCTGGGCAGGGAGTAGTTCCAGCTTCCAAGGAGCTGTGCTCAATATTTGTCTAGCCGAAGGAGCGACTCATCGAACATCTCAAAGGTGGTGCCGGGGAAATGCGGAAACACTCGCCAAAGATTCGTTTATTTGCGAATGTGGCTCTGGGCGCCACCTTCCATTCCATGCGTGCGGCGGGGCTCCGGGGAGTCCGGGGAGTCCCAGAGCCCCAGAGCCCCAGAGTGTGTGTGTGTGTGTGTGTTCGAGGGATGCGGACGGAATTAGACGAGCGTGTCAGCAGAGTAAACATCATTTTCCTCAAAGCAACCCAAAGCCGACGCCGAAGCCGAAGCCGAAGTAAAGACATCAACCGTCCAGGGATGTGGGATGTGGGATGTGGGATGTGCGACAGGATGGGACTGCAGCTTGGGGTCTGGGGTGAACGCATTAAAGACCACCAAGCACATCCGGACCCAGAGCCCAGTGCCGTTCCCCCGGCCGGAAGCATTAAGCTGCGGAGCTCCTGCCGGGACTGGCTCCTGCGAGGGCCATTACCAGTGCGATTCCGGGTCCCGCGAGTTATGAGGAGGTTGCTCTGTGGGCCAGTGGTGTTTTCGTGTGGTTTGGCCGCACCATCGGAGGGTTGTCCAGGGCTCCAAGGTTCCTTCTGGTGTCTTCGGTGGGAAAAAAAGACTGGGCGGGCCTTATTAGTCGATTAATAACGCGGGCGGGCGGTGAGCGCGACTGGGAAATCCCACGAATTAATTATGCTAATTTTAATCCTTTTGCCAGTGCTTTAATGTGAACAAATGATATTCCGACCGAATAATCCCCCGCCCCGCCCCACCAGATGAGGCTCCTCCTGGCTGGGGGCCCGGGTGCCTCGGGGGGAGGAAGGGGAGGACACATTTTGAGTAGCAATACCCGTAGATATTCCAGCATTCGACTGTCCGACGAGGTATCTGTCTTCCGTTTTGATGTGGGACACATTCGCCCATTAAGCCAGGCATTATCCCTAATTTCGGAAATGCCATTTTTCCCTGCTCTGTGGTTTTTTTTTTGTGTGTACTGCCATCTGCCATCTGCCACACCCAGTGCTCGCCCCAACCCTCCCCTCCCCTCCCCTTCTCTCTATCTCTTCCTCGAGTGCATAAACAAAGTGGAGATAAAGACACTTCTGCACATTTGTGAGTCCCAGCCTCTGTGTGATGGGGATGAGGAGTAGGAGGAGGAGGAGGACCTGGAGCTGAACTTGAGGCATGTTGCAATTCCATCTGGCAGATCCGCGACTACCTTCCGCCTCCACACACTCCGCCCAGCGGCAAATGGAATTGTTTTCCCTTTGCTCCCCCGACATTTGTGACAGAAATGCCTTAATTTATAGAAAATGTATCTGCCGTGGCTCCTGCTGGGGGTGTCGGGTATGTCACATGGGCTTCAACGCTCCGCGCGGCTTTCGTTTGTCTTTCGCTCCGCACAGACCCGACAGTCCCGACAGTCCCGACAGCCCGAGGCAGCTACGATTTGCTGTGCCTGTCCTCCATACTGCGTCCTGCGTCCTCCTTCTGCTGTCTATCTCTCTGCTCGTCTTGGTCCCTGCGGGGATCAGGGAAGAGTTCGGTTCAGCGCAGCGCAGCTGCACGATAATCCCGGTACACACTCCTGCTACACATGGGTAAGCTGAGGCGGAGCAGCTCTAGGCCGCTCCTGGCCAGAAATGATTGAAGGATTCCATTCCATTCCATGCCATTCCATGCCATGCCATTCCATACCCCGTTGGCCGTGGCTTGCCCGGGAGCCAATGATGCCCGGTACTTGTAGCGGAAATAGCATCCGAGCACTCTGCTCTGTATTTCCACTCCACAACGTAATTGATATTTTGCAAGTGTCTCCATCCATCTCATCCACTCTGCTGCCCACCTCTCCTCCTCCCCCTCCTCCTCCTCCGCCTCTCCTCCCCTTCCCATATGTCTGTGGCAGACATTCTATATCTCACTTTTCGCCAATCCATTCCCATTCCCATTCCCACTGCTATTCCCACTGCTATTCCCATCCCATTACACACATGGGATGCAGATGCATCTGTGGCTGTCGGAAAGTAGAGTTTGCACCCCAACACACGCCGTAAGTGGCGATAACACAACTTTAGATATCGCCTATCGACAGTCTGTTAAAATTAACATTAACATTGACATTGTTTATGGAGAGGGGATAATGGATAAAAAAAATAACTAAAATCCTAGAAAAATCACAAAAAAATAACTATATATGAAAATGGAGCGCAATTAGGAGAAACCGTAATTATCCAAAATAGAATTATAGAAAATACATAAATATACGGAAAATATAAATATGTAAATGAAGTAAAAAGAACAATTGAAGAGAAAATCGAGAAAAACAATACAAGGAGAAATGCAAGACAGAAGGACTCACCTGTTCCCATAATGCCGTAGCGTTGAATATTATATTTGAATATTATATTATATTGAATATTATTTGCTGTTCCTTTCATTGTCTTGCTGTTGTTTTTAAACACACACAAGCACTTAAAAGAAATAATAAAAAAATATTAATTATCACACACACACACTGACACCTTAAGACCTCATGGAGTCTTTATTCCATTAATTTTAGTGCGATCACTGATCTGTTTCCAAGAACAAAAAAAGAAAAATAAAAAAAAAATATAATTATTGCCCGTTTTATTTTTCACTGAACACTGATGAATTTTTTTTTAAACTAAAAAAAATTTAGGTATATTCTGTTCCTTTTTTTGCGTTGTTGTTGTTTTCACACACACACACAAAGAAATTAAAAAAAAAAAATTATATACCACCCACGAACACGCACAAGGCATCGGGACGCACAACAAAAAAAAGAGTCAATTATGCGTTTTTTCACTTGAGTTGCGTTTTGCCGCCGGCAAAACATGAAACGCGTGACTTAAATAACCGCTTTGAGTGAGGGAACGGGGGGGGAAACTGAGAAAGCTGTGATAAGCATGAATATGTATGCAGATCAGAGCTTTGCTTAGAAGTCGGTCTTTGTTGTTTCTCTCTCCCCGACTCACAGCAAAAGCGAGAGCAAAAGTTTGCGGCCGAATTAACTCGAAGTGCATGTGTTTGTACACAGGTGATCACAGTGAAATCAGTGCATTTCGGTGCGGGCGCATTACATTAAACTGATGATTAAAGAAGAGACCGGGGGAAACTGATAAAGCTGTGATGAGAGTGCAGCAGCGTGGGCGGCACAAAGCTTCTTCCTCTGCCAGCAAAGAACGAGCTAAAGTTAGTGGCCGGTGAGAGCAGAGCAGCGTAGGCGAGTCAAAGCTCAGCTTGCAGATCGGCCCTCCCTCCCTATCACACAGCAAAGAACGAAATCGAAAGTTTGTGGCCGAGCAAGAGCATCGCTGAGTAGATCACAGACACATGATGTTACTCTCGTGTTCTTTCGCTGTTAGCTCGCTGCTAGACTTACAGCCCTGTTACAGTTGGCTCTGTCGCTGTTGGCTCCTCTAAATTAACATGCCTCTGTAAACGGTTGCATCGGTGGCATTGCGTAAGAGAAACGAAAGGTTTTCGCATTTAATTTGATACCAAATAATGCACGTACTGCATATAGAATTTTGGGTGCGAGTGGGGTACAATGAATTTATCTAGTCTCCTCTATCAGTATCTGTTCGCGTTACATCTGGTGGATAATCTAAAATGTTGTTCCAATTTAGTGGTATTTTCGGAAGCTGTTAGCGTTGTTGTTGATTCTTGCGGGTACTACTGTGGCCTTAAAAAGCTAACTGACCAGGCACTCCGTTGCCTTGTCCAAGTTCCAGTTCTCACTCGAGAGCACGCTGCGCGCATCATCCTCGGCGTAGCCCTTTTCGACGAGAAGCTGGATTTTTGAGTCGAACTCGGGAAAGGTGTGCGGACCGCCGGCGTAGGCATGGGTCCAGTGCTTGGCGGTGCGCAGAAACAGATCGTGCTGGTTCCTGAACTGGTATGCCACCAAGGAGCTCCGTGGATCCGGCTGGGCAGCGGCCAACAAGGCCTGCAGAGACAGCATCGCCGTGCGCAGCGTCATCGCCGCTGCCCACTTCTCCTCGAGTATGTCCGGGCAAATGGTGCCAGTCACAAACGAAACGTTCGGGTGCCAAACGAGCGTCATGAAACGAATCTGCCACAAGATGCAGTCGGTTTAAGCCATCTACCTGTGCTGCAGTGCCGCTTTGCGGAAACTCACCTTCGGTGGACTGTACGGATATTCCTCGGGCACTTTTATTTCCAGTGTAAACTTCCCCCCCTCGTACGGTGTGTTGGGGGGGCCGCTTATCTCGCCCCTCAGATCTGTCCAGCTGTCGTTGACACGTTCGATTTTTATGGGACACGGCTCGATCTTCTCGCTGCGTAGGAGTTCCTCCAGCTCGCTCTTTATCCGTGAAACAGCTGTGCTCGCCATGATTTTTTTGTGGATCTGTTGCTGTAGTTTTTGTTGTTTCAATACCTGCAATCGTTCCGAGCTGGCTCCCAACTCCAGGCTTGCCTTTTAGCTAGGAATTTCAACACACAAACGACAAAGCTATATGTGATTATAAATTCTTTTGCTGTTAATTCTAATATAGAACAAATAAGGCAAACAACATGCGTAGTAGAGCAGAAGGAACCGACAGAACAGAAAATGTGCGTGTGAGCACGTCGCAATTTCGTGAATCTCAATCACAAGAGGTCTTAGGGTCTTGTTAAACATATTTCTGAGAGTCAAACGGTATATTTGGCTGCTCCTAGCACCTACAATGTGGCTACACCAAGAGCTCAAAGAGCTTTCAACATTTTTCACTTCTGTAGGGCCCACTGAAAGTTACTCGGCAAGTGGCTTGTGGCCAATTTTCGCAGGTAGCACAGGAGGCAAGAACCCCCCGCCCCCACCGCCAAGGGCCCATTTCCTTGCCTTTCTCTGCTATTTACTTTGGCGGAGATCAAAGAGAAATGTGTAACTAAATTGCCAATTACATATAAAGCAAGAGAAACTGTCTCCCTCGCCATGAGCCCATAGGGCGGGGCCTGCACCTGACAGGGCAGGAGGTGAAACAAAGGGCTGGCGGCGGTCCCTGTCCCCTTCCCCGTCCCCATCCCCGTCCCCATCCCCGTCAGACATTCACAATCCAATTGTGAATTCAATTTTGAAGTTGGCAACGCGGGGACAACAACATTTGCGACCGAAAATAAGGCATTTACCACGAGAAAGAAATAAAGAGAGGGAGAGAGATGTAGCCACACATGATTGGGGGCCTTCTTTCGGTAGTCCAAGTTTCCAAGGCCTCTTAGATAAGGTGAGGCACATTTCTACTACTACTACTTATGGTGGGAGCCCTGCTCTCCTTGGAAGACCTCACCTCATATTACTACGTCGAATCCATCTCCGCTCTCTCTGGCATTCTCCTGCGGAGTACGAGGAGTGTGTGCAAGGCGTAAAACGAATTTGTAGTAAATTCCTTCGCCGTTCCTTCTCTGCTCTCACCTCCCTCCGACTCCAACCGCCGCGGCGCTGATGCGTCGTCATCTTGTGCGTTTTATTGGAGAGAAATTGAATTAGTGGCGGCGGCGGCGGTGGCGGTGGCGGTGGCGACGGCGGCAGCGGCGGGAACGGAAGCGGTTGCTAAGCAGGAAATTGCCTGAAATCAGGCGCACGTAAGCCCCACAGTGCTGTGCTGCCCCCGCTACCCACCCCCCCGAGCTGGCTTCCATTAAAGGCCGGCCGGACGGACCGTAACTGGAGTCATCGTCCTGGCCCTGGCACGCGTTGGCTTTATTGCTGCCGGAACTGCCGGAGTCTGGCCGTGCCCGGCGGCTTCATTTGCATGCGCGCCGACGTCCAGCCATCAGTAGCTCCTGGAAATGGCCCTCGTTCCCTGTTAATGCATTTCGCACTTAAGCGCTATAGTTTTCGCCATCAAACTAATTAAAAGTTGCTTAAACAACGCGGAACTACTTCCCAGCAGATGGCTTCTCCGCGTACTGGCGGAGTTCTTGGCACTGGCGCTGGCGCTGGTCATTAGCTGATTTTGATTGACCCTCAACGCAAATCACCAAGAGTGCCGGGGCTGTCTCTATGGCTTCTGAAGGCTAAAAGTGGAAAATTAAAGTGCATTATATATTATTTAATTGGAATTGCCCATTAGTCAAGGAAAGAATAGAGTGAAACGATCTCTGTGCCGTTTCAATGATCTATTTAATCGAATCAGAGGGGGTCTTATAGGGCTTTCCTTGTCCTCCTATGGATCCCAGACTAGGCATTAGCGTGTGTATGTATGGTGATGCATACTTGATGAACTATTATGCACGTGTGTACATCTTGCAGTACACACAAGCGAGTACGGGTATGTACACAGTCACTGAAGTGCAGTCGGGCGGCTTCTGGGTAGAAACGCAACTGGTGCGCACGGGAAACAAGCACGGCTGCAAGTAGCACGCGAAACGAAGCGTAAATGAATTTTTCATCCCTCCATTAAAACGTAAGTGCACATTTTCCGGCGCAGCGCACGAGACGCCCCGCCATTAAGGCAAAGGAAGTGGCCCGCAGAGCCCCAAGATGGCGGGCTCCGGAGATTGTGAGGGCGGCTGAGTCTGAGTCTGAGCCTTGTAGCCACAGAAGCCCAACCCCAAGAAGCCCTTTTCCATATCCGATAGATACGTGCATGTATGTGTATGTGTAATAATCAATAACCGACTGTTGTTGGCTCTCTCTGTTCCGCAGATTACATGCAGTCGCTGTGCAAGAATCACTTTCTGCAGCAGCTCTACCGTAAGATCGACGGAGCCGTACTCTGGTCGCAGAACGAGCGCAATCTGGACTGCATCATCACGTTCCAGACGCACTCGGTGCTGCAGCGCTTCATGCTCCGCTTCGACATGCTCCAGCTGGACTGCAACGACCACCTGCTGGTCTACGACGGAGCCCATGCCGTCTCCACGCCCAAGGTAAGTCCCTCCGTGCCATCTCTTGATCCTTTTCAGCATAATTGAGTTGGGGGCCACCTGAATCCCGGCCAACCACGTCTCTGTGTCTGTTCTTTGGGGCAGGATACGGCTGATACGGCTACGTGTCCCACATTTTTATTAGCGAAAACGCTAATTTGCATATGCAAATCGAAAAAGGAAGCGGATCCCGCCATCTAAGCCCGTATTTGCATAGGTGGTGGGATCCTTTATTGCCTTTATTGATTTGCTCGGCAATAGCTTATCCCCGGCAATAGCTGATACCGTGTCCGACAAAAGTCTACCCATACCCTTCGGCAGGCGCTGCCCGATCCCCAATCAGACTTCTTTGAAGCCCCAAAAATGATCTGAACATCCCGAATGTGCCCATATATCGAAGACCGACTGTACACTGGTAATCACAGCGCATCCTGTGGAGGGGCAGGCCATCGATGGGAGTATGCAAATCGGTACACATGTGAGCTGCCTGCCGTCTGCCGTCTGCCGCCTGCTGCCATGTCAGGGAACAGTAATTGTGTATATCGAAGGGTGGAGTGGGCGTCTCTGTTTGCGCACAGTAGATTGAATTATTAGGAGCTGAACTGTAAAGCAGACAACTCAAATTGGAGCCGAGCAAACGTACGTACATATGTTCTGAGGCAGGTGCCAGTACGCCCCAGTAGGCCCCTTCGGGGAGTACTTAGTGTGCATCGAACCCTCGCCATGGGAGGCACTCGAGTATAAATATTTATTCTAATGCTTACACGTCGAAGCCATGGATCCATATACATTCACAGGGAATTAGCAAATCAAATTTCATTCGTTGCACAGATAGAAACATATCTGTAGCCTCCGCCCGCCCGTTTCATGGCAGTTCTTAGGCGATTTCTTGTTGCCGGGCCAGGCATTCCCCGAATCAATTAAAGGGATACCTCCCTGGGGGGAGTAACGAGGGATTCCTGCATAGATACAAGATACAAGATACGAGTACACACTGTACGTACGTACGTACGTACGTTCGAGTGTATCAGAAATTGCATCACATGCCGATAGTTAAGGCCAATCATTGCTTAGTTTGCCACAGCCGAAGGCCGTGGAGGGGACGGGGCCGGGGGTGGGTGGTGCGGCAAAGCACCACAATTTGCTGGCCAACTGTGAGTTGCACTGCTGCAGCCACCCACCCGCCCACATGCACCCACATGCATCCCGGCCACAGCCACCGCATTATCCAGATCACGTTGATGCTTCTGACATTTTAGGTTCAATCCCTGTGGGGCTTCCGCTCTGCCAACATGGGATGCTCCACATACTCCAAACACACACACACACACACACAGGCACAGACAGTCGCACACAAAGGCATAATTTTGTCGCTGCAACATTTGCAATGATGACAGCCAGTAAAGGAGGGAGCGGAGGGAGGGGCGGGGCGGGGGGCTGCCGTTGCGGTTCCACGGCTCCACTGCGGCTGCAATGCGGCGAAGGCTGCAAGCTGCCAACTCCTCCTGCCCCTCCTTCTCCTTCTTCTCCTCCTTCTGCTGATGGCTCTCTGTGATTTTATCAGCAACAATTTCCATTTTTCATTCCCCCGCCCACACTGCATTATTTAATGCGGGGGTAGGGGGGGTCTGTGTGTGTGTGCAGCGTGAGGCAAGTAGGAAAGTGGCCACAAATAGAGCGCGCATAAGCCAAATCCTTTATTTGCCAAAAGGAAGCAGAGCAGCGATGGCGCCACTAAAAAATATGCATAAAAATGTTCAGCTAGAAAATTAGAATTAGCCCCGCCTCTCCCCTCCCCTCCCAGAGGAAACCTTGAAATTTATGGAAACAGAAGAAATTCCGCTGCGGAACGCCGGAACGCTCTGGCTGTCATTTTTTGTCGCCTCTCTCTGGCACGACCTCATTTTAGAGCGGCGCCAGCACTGGGCCACTGCCAAAGCTCTATGTCACCTGCCACCTGCCACATGCCCTGGCCCAGACCCAGGCTCAGTCCCACTCCGAGGCCGGGTATACGAGGCATTCCGATTTGGGCTATCGGGGAGTCACATGAGGACCGTCACACTTTGAACTGAATCAAAAGCAGTGCCAGAGTAGAGGCTTTCGGATAGATCTGCATTACTGCAGCTCCACATCCGTGGTATGACGGACCCTCCAAGGTCTCTAAGCAAAGAGAACAAAGTCCATAAATTGTGGCATTGTTTGTGCCGGTTCAAAGACTCGAACCGCTGAAGTGAGTCGAAATTGCGGTCGAAACGGGCCCTTGGAGAGAGTTATGTATGTATCTGACGGAGGGAGGAGCCAGCAGCCAGCGTCCTTAACGAGAACGTCAATATCGATGGCAACTGAATTAACTTTAATTATGAAAGCTGGGTACATACATATGACGGCAGGATGGGGCGATGGGGCGACGGGGGCGATGGGGCCTGGGAGCAGGAAGTCAACTGTGATTTGAGGCGTTGCTCCCTTTGGCCAAGCCAAATAACGAAAGCTCATCGTAAATAAGTTAGGAGGCGAAGAGCCATAAAAGCGAAAGTATCGTAAAACCGCCCAGCCGATTTCCAACGAGAGAGCAGGGACAACACGGGACGAGTTCAACAGGCTCTGCCGCTCTTGATGGGTTTTTATGGGTTGGGCATGGGCATGGGCACGGGCAGGGGGGCCTGGAGGACTCGGTCTTAAATCCAGACAAGGCCCGCATGCTCGTTCGACTTTATTGACAGAAGCTGAACCATTCGAAGGACCGAAGGGTCCTCATTGATGAGCGCTGTCAGGACGAGAGGAGCCTGACCACATAGAGGGAACTATGATTGCAGATACACATAGATATGAAATACTGCTTCCTCTGACGAATCGATGCCAGAGGAACGTCTCGGCCTCAACCCCCAAATCTCGCCCTGGCCTTTTCCCATTTCAATAAGCATCCAAGCGGGGATCCACGAGTGTGTATACGTATATTTGTCAAGTGAGTTGTTTTGCAGTGCCCGTCCCCCGACAGATACCGACTGGTATCTGAAGGATGCAAAAGTTAAGAAGCAGTCGACCTGCGGTATTTTCCACCTAAGCAGCTTTCGTAAGTTTCCCCCCACCGCCCCCCGCACTGCCTGGGTGAATGGGTGAATGGGCAGGATTTATGAATTGGACTGCCACTCGAGTCACTCCTCGCCGGAGCCGGCGAAAGTGGCGAAAGTATGCAAATTTGCTGCTCGCCGGCCACAGCAAAGGCGGGCAGGACCCGTCCAGGACCGAAACCGAATACAATTTTGCGAACATGTAAATAGTTTTCGACAAAAGGAGTTGTCACCGCATCAGTGGGGTGGGGGGCGGGGGGGAAGCCGCAAAAATCCAAAATTAAAACGTTCCAGCACACACACACATGGCAGAGGGAGGCGGCCAGAGGGGGGCTGGGCGGGGCAGGGCGGGCGCAAAAAAAGCGGCGGAGAAAAGTTTACATTTTCGAGCTGCAACAAAATTAAAATATGGCACAAAGCGCGCCACGTCGAAGATGCAGGCTGCCACACCCCCGGACACCCCCGGACAGACCGAGACACCGACACACGAAGCAGAATCAGGACCAGAATCAGGACCAGGACCAGAACGTTGTGTCAAGAAAAGCAGCCACAGCAAAGCCTACAAACGTCTCCTGCGGTGGGTCGGGGGCGGCGGGGAGGCGGGGAGGCAGTTGATGAACCCTTGGTGGAACTTTCATGAGGCAAAAACCAACAACATTACAAATTTACACAGCAATGGAAAAGGGTGCGGGTGCGGGTGAAAGAAGCAGACTACGTGACGCATACACGTGCCACAGGAGGTGGGGCTGGGGCTGGGGCTGGGGCTGGGGGAGCAGCCGTCATCATCATTTTGCACTCTGCGGCGTCGACGATGAGGATGACGACGACGACGACGATAACGTGACCAAACCAACAGACGACAGTGGAAAAAGTTGCACAATTTCCAAAAAAACCTTCAATATTTAATTTAAATATTAAGAGAGTATTTCTTCGGCACTTGATTGGCTGCAGCAGGAGCATGATAATATCGGGATTACCCTTTGCAGATCGACATCTCGTGCCGGAACACAAAGAACACCGTCAACGCGCTGCTGACGCGCACGAATTTCGTGACCCTGAAGTACGTGACCGACGGCTGGGGCACAGATGTGAACGGCTTCAAGCTGGTGATAACATCGGTCAAGGATCCCAGTAAGTACAGATGGTCCGCGCCTGTGGCAGTCGGCAGTACCGCTTCGATTCCATCCCACTTTCAGAGCACACCTGCAAGGACTTCACCTGCGCCACGCGCGAGTTCTGCATACATCCCGATCTGCTCTGCGACGGCGTCAATCACTGCGGAGACAACTCGGACGAATCGGTGCAGAACCTCTGCCAGAGTAAGTCGAATCCACGATACGTCCCTTCCATCCTTCCGTCCGGACCTCCAGCACGTTTCATTCACTCTTTGCAGGCGAGGCGAGCAGCACCGTGTTCGGAATGGACATGACCTGGTTCGTCCTCATCGTTGTCGGCGTCCTGCTCGTCCTGAGCGCGCTCATCGTGGCCGTGGCCATCTGCGTGTGTCGGCGCCAGGACGAGAATGCCTCCAACCAGAACACCGCTCTCCAGCGTAAGCAACCAAAGGGCATCGAAACGCCAGTGGGCACTAATCCTGTCGATTCCATCTTTGCAGTACACCACAATGCGGACACAAATGGGTCGTCGAAACATCTGCACTACCATGGCATTAGTGTCGGCGGTACGCTGACGAGGGAGCACACACAACTGCCACCACAGTCGGGAAACTGGCATCACCCTGCGGGACCATCCGGGTACCACCGCATTCCACACAACTACTTGAAGATGGCCACCAAAGTCCGTCCCATTTGGTGCTTGGCAAATTCCGTCAATTAGGTCAAGATCTTTCACAAAACTCTGCCGGCCTCAGCCAGACGAACATTGCCGGCTCCGGCAATCACCAGAGCGCCAATGCCGCCAATGCCGGTGCCGCCCAGAAGGACGAATGGTTCGTCTAGGATCTGGCAACATCGTGGCACGAGGGCACTGTGAAGGAACGGAACCAATTTGACTTGAGCACAATAATCTGTACTTGAATAAGTAAAATTATGGATATTTGCAGAGCATTAAATGAAGTGAGTACAAAAGCTGACAGGGATCCGAGAATGATAATCTGATAATGATAACTGAACGTTTTCCTTCCATTGCAGGACTGTACGACTATACTTAACAACAAAACAATGTGGACATCACCGCGCAGGGTGTATTATTAAGAGATCTCTATGCGTACCCAAGCAGAATCTCGAAAGCGTTGGGCAGGTGGTCGGAGTACACACGGAGTACTCCGGCCACTCTGTCGGATAACCAATGCAACTGTACATAGTTTATAAATACGAAAATATCATTTAAAGGATTAATATTACAAGCTGGCTAAAAACAGAGACACAGAACAGAGAACAGAGAACCCCATATCCCTGAAACGTATAGGTCGAATAACTAGGGAGTCCTCGTCTTAATTTGTTGGCATTTATTTACTAGAATAATTGTACCATGCGATTGTACCATGTGCTCGTATCGTAAGAATAGACAACCATTACATTAGACTTCAATTATTGCTCTTTGATTATCGTCTTAGTTGGCATTGCGGGTTGCTGCGTTTAATGTATGTACAAAAGGACAAGAGTTCTTCAGTTTATCATCAGAGTCATAGTCAGAGGTAGAGTCAACAATCTTAAGCATTTAAACCAAACCGTAAGAAGTATTAAAGATCAACGAAAACACTGTCATTGGAATACAACTTCCGCAAGCCTGGTATTTAAGGTGTTTTTACAACAAAAATTAAACAGCAAAATGGACACAAGAAGGACTCAACAAAAACAAGGGATGTACATAGGTAGCCGACAATATACATACATACATACATCAATACTCGTAATTAACGAAAATGCATTAAGACATTGCAGAAACAGGAGGAGGATACTTCTTACTTGCTGTCCACCTGTCCACCTGTTCAACTTCATATCCCACTTCCATTTGTCCACACGAGAGCCGGAAACGACTCTGCAGACTTTCACGAATCATCCAAGAACCGAAAAAAACAAACCCAATGCTAACGGATATATTCTGAGACATTAAGGACAATACAGTGAAAACTTTTGCTTTTGATACAACTCAATTGAGAACACAAGGGACATGCGAGTGCATTTGTAACCTACAGAAGAGTGTCCGAATCGAATACAATTTTCTACAATCAACCAGAGAACCAGAGGAATTCTACACTAAATTAAACAAAATAAAACAAAAAAAAACAAAACAAAACAAAGTACATACACAGAGAGTTGAACATTTTGCTACAAAATCGAATGATAACGATCATATACTTATACATATTGACGATGCAATGGAATGGAATGGAATGGAATAAAGCTCGAGAAAAACCAAAACTAAAATGCTTCAAAATGATTGTAGTACTTCCCGCCGTTAATATTTTTTTAATATATCATACATACTACAAATACAAACAAAAACTAATACAAAATACAAATACAAATCTAAATAATAATACTTATCCTAAGATCCGTACGTAAGAGCCCCTTTCCGCTGCTAGAATTTGTCTTTCAAAATATGTACTTCCATAGGCCGGCCAGTTAGCAAGCCCCCGAGTTCTTTATGGTTCTTCAATCTAATTTTCTGAAACACACAAAAACCACAACAACAAAACAACCAATCAAATTTGTTCGTTTGCTAATAGAGAAAATTCATCTAGAAATATCCGAAAGTAAATGCTATTCCAGCGAGTACCGTACCACGACAAATCGGAGGGGATACGGGAATAAATGCGATTTTGTCAAATTAAATTAGTTTTGTACTTAGCAGTAATGAAGGCCCCTAAAGCTAAATTGAATACCTAGGCACCTAGGACTGCTAGGACTGCTAGGAATACTACCTAGGCATAATTTCCGCTGAAGGTACCAGTTGATCAGTTATGTATCTTAACTCTCGTTTTGCCCGTGCGTCTTATATAAATCTATAATCGTAAATTATAGCAAAATGGTATTATGATAAATTGAATTTTTAACCAAAATTATAAGCAAATTGTATTAGGCGTCAAATTTTAGAAACGAATAAAACCGAAACGAACAAGGTACATGTTGAATATGTATGTGTATGAGCTAGGACTACTTTCATTTCATATACGGAAACAAGTAAATCTAATAATAACCTAATGAGACGATAATAAGCGATACAACATTATAACTGAATAACCACAAAGCTATTTTATGCAATACAGGAAATATTGAATACAATACTGAATACCGAATACCGAATACTGAATACTGAATACTGAAAATTATGCGTCAAGTCAAGTAAAATGTTTAGGCAAACGATTGTAATTGTATTGTAATATCGTAACCGTAACCGTAACAGTAACAGTAATCGTAACCGTAATCGTAATCGTAATCGTAAACGTAATCGTAATTGTAATCTTAATCGCATGCCTACTTCTCACTGGTGAAAATCGGCCTAGATCATATCGTTATCGTTCAGTACGGTGTCGGTGTCGTATATGAAGTGTAGTTAAAATATACATACAATACTATATGAAGCATAAATATATGTTAAATACAATTCAATCGGGTCGGACGGATTCAATGGCAGAATGGCAGTACCCACAGTACCCACAGATCCACAGATCCACCCTTACATTTTGTGTATATTTACATGATGGGCAAATAGAGGATAGACGAGGATAGGAGGATAGAAGGATAGGGGTGCCCAGGGTGGTGGTGGTGGTGGTGAGAAGAGCTTTCGTTTCCCAATGTAAATGTTAAAATGTGTTAAAATTAAATTTTTTTACTGTCTACACTCTCTAACTCTCGAAAAGACTTTGCCGCAAATAGTCTTAACTTAAATTACTATACTATATGAATGTACACGTACACGTGTGTGTCTGTGCACATTAGGCATTAGCGACAGTATACATATGTATTCCCTCAACAAATGAACCAACAAAATTACCAATCATTACACACAACCATCCACAGAGAGGATACACACGAGTATTCATGTGTATCTATGATTCTACCAGTTTCCCCCACGCTTTTAAGTTCGATTGACAAGGATAATCAGTTGTACTAACTTGCTTGGATTCTCGAAGAGTATTATATAGAGTAATAACTAGGTTCACATGCAAAATCACTGGCCATACAATTACAGAATAGGCCTCGTAGTGCAAATGTTAGCCGGACATATGGATATGGATCGAGGCGACACTCCACTAGGGAGTTTTTAGTTTCGTTATCGCACGCATCACCAGAACGAATGATGGATGGTCCGCAATTATTTGAGTGTACGAGGGAGTATGCTATTAGTTGAAATAAATATGATACGAGTACTACTATTAGTACTAGTACAGCAACAACAGGTGCAAGAGAAGGTCATTGAGAGAACATGCAATAGTATTCCGAAACGAATGAATATCTTGAGAGGTCGCGTAAAGTAATGCTTAGCTTTGTGTTAAATTGCTGTTGAATATAAATGTACTTGTACAATGATAATAATTATGATATGATGGCATTAAACATACTGAAAACACACACAACAACAAGCAACAAGCAACCACACCCCAAACCAAACCACAACAATACAATAACAGCAGAAGCAAAAGCAAAAGCAAATGAACCCAAATCCAAATGAAACTAATTATAATGAAATAAAGAATATAAAACGTTAAAATGAAACGAGTTTCTCTTCTCCATACATAAGCTATATCTTTGCATTTATAGATCTAAACGCAAATCGAGTCCAAAAGTCTTCGGCCCACTAAATCTGGGCACAAATGGTATGGATAGAGCTGTAGGCTTTAGACCCCAAATAGCTGTTGCAATTGGTTCCTAGTGCAATAGTCTTTGGTTATATTTAACAGATTTGTTTCCATATCCAAAGATCACAGACTTAAGGCTGTCAGTAGAGATAGGAGAGCTGTTCCACGAAACTGGATTCAATCCAGATTTATTTTCTATTTCATTAAATAAACATATTCGGCTAACTCAGTCCAAGTGCTCGCATTCGGCGCTTCTTCTAGGCGAGGCTTTTATTAGATGCTTCCTCGTCTCGGTCAGAGTACAAAATGAGTTGAATGTTTCTCATGTGGTGCTGCTTCTCCTGCACCCGCCTCAGGTGGATCTGTGCGAGTGTGTTGAGTGTGGCCACGACAAAGTAGGCGACCATGAGAACGGTAAAGAGCTCAAAGGCGTGACTCACGAGGCTTAGGCTGAGGCTGATAAAGGACTCGTCGCCCTCCCCGTTTCGGTTGATGGTTTTGTGCATGTGCTGCTTTGTGGACATCAAGAAGCCTTTGAAGAACGTCTGCAGGCGTGGGCCAAGACCAGGCAGTCTCCCCAAGAAGTCGGCCAAGCCATTGACCAGATGGTCGCTGAATGACACTATGACGCATACCTGCTGAATGGTTGCCTTGATTAGGGCCTTGCCGATCATTGTGGCCACAAAAAACTTCCAGAAGGGCACCAGAAAGTGGCCGCATGTGATGCCAGCGAGGTCGAACAGGGGATTGGGCACGCTGGCACAGAGAAGGATGCCAAGGAATCCCACACGCCGCACCATGAGCTCCATGCACTGTTTGGCACCGTCGAAAACATTTGAACGGCCCCGAGGGCTGTGCCGCTGAGACTTCTGCAACTCCAGAGGCTCCTCCGTTTCCACACCTTCCAATTCATTGCTGGACAGGCGTGCACTCCTGGCCATAAAGTATGGTGGCAGCTCGCCTATGGCCGTGCCAATGCCCCAAAGCAAGGCCTCCGGCCGGACCTTTGCCAAAATGCTCCAGATATCTGGAACCTGCCGCACATACCCCTCTTCGGGGCAGACCTTTTGGTCCGGGTACGGCGGCTCCGGGAACTCCAGGGTCTGGCACTCGTAGCCCGCCAATGTGACTCCGGCAATATGTGGCCCCAGGTATAGTAGGAATGTGTGCAGTCCCGTGCCAAAGCCCACTGACGTAAGGACGCCCAGCAGCATCCAGTACAAGGCGAATCTCAAGTTCTGCAGGCCGATGCTCACGTAACTCTCATGTGGTCCCGGCAGTATGCAGACTATACCCAGAGCCAGCAGACTGCCCAGTAGCCATTTGTTCAGCAGCCAGTTAGCGAGAGAAAGCACCAATCCTCCGGCTTCTATGGTTCCATACTTCAAGGTCCGCCAGGGGCGGCGCCACAGAACTAAAGATCTTCGCTCTAGTAGCTCCTGCGTGCGTTCGGCCGACAAGTCCCGCTCCTTCTCCTGCTCCTGCTCAGTGAGCAACATGCCCGAATCAGTGGAATCGGTTGAGGCGGTCGGCTCCTTTTCTACTCTCACACTCTTATAAGTGAAGCCAGTTGGGGGTATACTTTGTGTTTTTACTTCTATATCAAGGGGAGTTTGATGTGGTTAATGTTTTCTAGACTAGCTAGGCTTCGTGTCGATTCAAAAACTTGCGGAGCTTAAGGATGCTGTATTCCGCTTCCCTCTTCAAAATTCAAGGCCTTCTTTGAGCAGAAAATTTGCTATTTTCTATACGGCAAAATTCCCCCAATCATAAGAGACTTCTATTTATATCCGCGGCATATAGCACCGCCGAAACGAAACAATAGGAGAATACAGCTTTTGAAATTTGGAATGCCTGGCCTTATACTATTTCGACACTTTTATGGATAGCGCTAGCTCTTTCTTTTCCATTCCTTCTCTTCTTTCTTGCTCCTATTCATGCATGAGAGAGAAAGAGAAGGAACTTCGCGGCTTTTTTGCACACAAAATCTACCTTTTCTATGCCTATACTCATTTCTACCATTTTTACTAGCTTTAAAGATATTTTTCTTTTATGCACTCATGTGGAATTGGCACATATTGGGGTAAGCAACGCACAATTTTGGTACAAAGACTTACTAATGAAGAGCCTTGGCAGAAGCACATAGAATGAGATTTTCAACAAACAGTTTATTCAATAAAACTTGCATGTATGTATGTATGTATGTACACCTTGAAAGGATCAAGAAAGAATAACACACATTACTAAATGCACATATTTACAACGAACGTGTGTGTATGTAATACGATCGATAAAGTCTACACTGTTGCACAGAACAAATGCGCGTCTAATACAAGTTCACATTATTCATATTTTCGCTAGCTATATAACTGGTAAAATTAGGCTTAGTTTAGTTAAATAGTGTGTTCGCCGAAGGTCGCTGCTGCTTTCGCCACGGCCAGACGCTGGCAAGGCCAAGTAAATATGTGGTATGGTAGGAAATTCGTCAAAAATGCAAATACTTGAATGGGCCCACCCAGCGTCTGAAATTCCTTCTCGTTGTCACTTTTGTCGAAGGCGAAATGCGACCGGAGGATATGGCTGGCTATTGAATAGCCAGCAGCATGCAGACAGGCACTTAAGTGACCACTCAAATTGAACTATGAGCTTAGCTTAAAGGTAGGCCAGGTCCAGGCAGTTTTCTTAACCTAACTCTGCTACGGGGCAAAAGATCTTTTTGGTTTGAATGCTAGAATACATCTTGTACTTGGATTCCGTTCGACGTTCCACTTGCCGCCTCGCCTCAGTATTTCTTGAGTTGTTCGTACGTTATAAAGAATATGATGTTCCAGGGCCCCATCCTAACCCACGTGGGTATGAAGCCCTTATAGAGGGCCAGGGGTCCCTCGTTTCGAATCGTCTGCACTGCACAGTCGAGGCTCCCGCTGTACAGCTTTGGTGTGGCTGCCGCAGTGGCCAGGCCGTTTATCGTCATGCTGACGGGTCTCTGGTTCATCAGGCGAGTCTATAGCAAAGGATTATCTCTCATGCTGACAATATAGCATTTTATTTCACTCTACTCACCCGGATGACATCGATGGGAGTCGACGCAATGGCGCTTCCTAAGCTGGCAATGAAACTTGAGCTGTAACAAAAATAGAATTAGATCCAGAACGTGAAAAAAAGCCGGGGGAGGACTTACATAAAATGATTCGCCACATGATCGCCAAAGGCGTTCATTAGCTGCAGCTTGCAAAAGTCATAGACCGGTAGCTCGACTGACGCAATGACTACGGCGCGCTGAGCCGTTGGCCCAACACCGCGCCACAGCCCTCGCACGCCCTCATACTTGTATATTTCGCTGAAGCAGCCAATCAGACCCTGGTGATGGGCTCTGCCATGCACCTGCATACGCACTTTCAGCACATCGGTGGGGTTGGCAATGGCCGATGAGATGGCGCCTGCCGCTGCCGCGCACAGTATGTTGCTCCAGACCCGCTCGCTGCCGTCTTCGTTCGTGAGGAGGCCGCGCTCGTTGGCCAGCTTCTTGAGGGTGTAGTAGGTGCCGAATTTGATGGTGCCGTAGGTGGCCTGACGCAGAACTGCCGGCCAAATGCTGCAATGAATACGATGATATCAGAAACAAAGTCTAAGGGGTTGCTGGCACACTATCGGGCCGGGCAAAGTTTGCAGACCAGACCAAACGTTGTATTTTCGGCAAGCCATTGACGGTGCCGAGTCGTGACTGGCGTTATCAACCTACACAGAAGTACGAATGTATGCACTTGCATATGTTCGCGCTCTACACACATTATTATGCTATTCCCTAGGAGACAACTGAACATGTGACTGTCACGTTTCGCATGATAAGAACGCAATGCTTGTCTCATGTTGTGACATCGTGCTCGTAGATTTCTCGCCACTTACCCAGAATACAACGCTCGCAGCCCTTCTTCTTTGGAGATCTTGACAAATGCATCGGTCATGCCGCGGTACCGCAGCTGCGAGAACGTTTGATCAATTTTCTGACCTTGGACTTGGAGGCGCGTCTTTGTTGTGTCGATTGGAAAAGTGCCTGCAATGCAATACGAGTATAAATAAGCTAGAAGTTTGTTTACAAAGATTCAGTACGGCGATAAGGGTCTGATTTCAAAGCTGATTCCAAAAACACCACCTTTCGTCACACTTGTTTTCGCCACGGGAGGCCCTCATCTTTTTGCATAATTACCAAATTCAGCAGTTATAGATGCAACGCCGCCATAAACAAAAGGCCGCCAGTCCTTGACTTCCGCCATGACCGCCACAGCACCTGTTGATGCTCAAAAACCGATCAGATTTCGCGTTGATCCTTCAACGACGCGACCAAATGAGATGGCACTCCTCCGTTGCAACTTCGTTGTTTACTTAGCGTCGTTTGCAGGTTTACTTGCATGAAATTCGCATTAAATATTACACAAATCACGCAACCAAAGTGTCATGCTTTAACTTACATTCGGTCAATTTATTACATAGCAACTACACGGTAGCTACACACTTGCTACATAATGGGAGGAAAAAGAGGGTATAAACAACAGGCAAAGCGGCCCAGAAAATGCATCGGAGGCAAGGTAAAACACACCCCTCGCGCCTAATGTACCTTGCCGATTTTGTCTTCAAGGTATATTGTCCTCACGCGCAAGACGGGGTTCGTACGAATCCTGCAATTTACTAGCTGTCCATACCCTTTTTATAGCCCATTCAAAACTACGACTCATTTTTTCGTTGCATTTTGAGCGTCTGACCTCAGAAATATACCGTCTCATTTTTAGAATATACCGTAAATATATCAATGAAAAACCGAACTTAGCAAACATAACCGCTCTATTTAAAATGGATAACAACTTGAATTAAACCGCGGAAAATAATACTCAAAATAGCATCCTATCCTTTACCTTTGTATTAGAAAAAGACCACGATATATTTCGCGGAATGAAACCTAAGTGTGTATGGAATGAGTCTAATTTTTTGTACCGATTCATCCGGTTCAATACCCGATTCAAAGCATGCGAAAAAGATAGCCATAACCGATTCGAAAAGAGCAAAGTGTCTCGAGCCGTGCCCTCTGGTGCTGGAAAGTGCCGGTTGGCAGAAAATATCCAATACTGCTAAACGGCTCGACCAGGGCTGCATTGCTTTTCCGTTGAAAATAAATGTAATTTAAATTTCAATTCATTTCCTGAAAGCCGATCCAAACGACAAAGTAACAAGGATCGAACGATAATGGGAACAAACTTGAGTAATTTCATTCTGACATGGATTGGCGTCTCGTTTCAACGCAAACTAATCTCCCTGTTCGGTTTTCTTCGAGGGAAAATATACGAGTATATTCTCTAAGGGTATTTCCAGCTTCGACCCACGAAACGGACCGTTTATCTTTATTTGTTTGTTTATTGAACAACAATTCAGGCAACATCAAAACAAACTGTTTAAAAGTCAACAAGAAAGTAGATCAAAACACTCCAAATATTGGTAGCGAACCTCAAATGAATATTTAAACGCAAACCGATAACGAGTTGAGTCAAAAAACGAAAAACGAAAAAAAAAACAGCAATCTGGGAATTCCTATTCACCTACTCGTAAGCTTAGCCCTGGCCCCGTGGTCCATCTGTGGTGCTGGCAGGGGCAGTGCAGGTTCTCCAGCGCCGACCTTTGCTGGCATTTTGCTGTTTTGTTTTCGCCTGTCTCTCAGCTCTGCTCTGCTCTGCTCTGTCCTGTTTTGTTTTGTTTTGTTGGCAAATTCGCATAATTAAAGATTGTTTTGTGGAAGTTAGCTTACTACGATTTGTCTGTGCTTAATTCACGTCACTCATTTCAAATTCAAGCGCAGACCGGATCGTGAAAGTCGGCGGCGTCACATCGGCGTCGCCGGTCTTGGACCAGTTCGAGCGTTGCCTTTTTGGGGAAAAAGACTTCAATGGGTTTAACCCCGAACATGGTGTGGCTCCGAGTCCGACTCGGACTCCGAGCATGGCTAAGACCGCAGAGAAACAAAGAATTTGGCAAATTAATTTAATCGCTGCATCCTATTGTCGATCCGATCTGATCCGAGCTAAAATGTAATTTAATCGCCTTACAGTTTATTTCACTTAATTTGGCATTCCCGCGCCGCCGGTTTTTTTCTTTGGTAAGTGATTTCTGGCAGTGGAGCGCTCCCGTTCTGTGCCGTGGCGTGGGCATTCTGGGTAAACTGGCTATTTGGTCTCTGCTATTTGCTACTGTGTTCGAATTAGCAAATTCATTCAACCGCTCTGTGAAATATCTTGATTTGTAGATTTCCACATTGGGAAGGCCGCGGGGGGTGCAGATTGATTCCTTCCCGACTTTGAGGATCCTGCCACCTGCCACCTGCCAGACTTTTACCGCGAAAACAAAGCTGAATCTTAAACAGCCGAACGCGTGCCAGTCGCAGACTTGGCATAAATATCTGGATATTTCGAGTTAAGCACGCAGATATATACGTATCTGTGAATGTGGTATGTGGTCATAGCCGAAGTCTGCTTATGGATCGATCAGGGCGCCTTGCTTGTTAGTCACATGATTGGCATGCGGAAATTCCCCGAAAAAAGGCCGTTGCCATATTTGAACATATTTGTTCAAGGAAATATCTTGGAAGCCCTACGCCCATTTGCTTTCCCCCGAGGGCTTTCGTCTTTCAGCCAGAGAACACGTGCAAAAACTATTAATATTTACGAATAAATGGAATTTAAAATGCAAATACTCATTAGAATGATATTGAGAGTCGTTATTCGTCAGGTTTTCCAAAAATAGTCCCGCAAAGAGTCTCTTACGTATTCTCTATTGGATGATATACAAAATAAGATCCTTTGCTGCTGCTGTTTGCTGGAAAGAACAGTAAAAATAGCTGCCAATCGATTCCCAAATTTGGCAAATTGATTCCCAAATCAATCAACAAGTAGCCGGTTCAGGTATTCCCCAGAACCGTGGGCGAGACGGAAAAGGGAAAGAAATTTCTTCAGTCCTAAGCTGAGACCCAATAAATTAAATTAAATCCAATTTGCATATCTAACACCGATGCCTGTTTTGTTTACCGTTTGAGAGTAAAAACCCCAAGCCAGACCAAATCCGCATACGCGTAGAGGCTGATGCTAAGCGCGGGTCTGGCGCCAAAGAAATTACCAACTATCCATCAAGCGTTTTGGCCAGATCTGTTTACTGGCGTCCATCCGCTACATGTGCTAATCGTCGATGGGTGGGGGGAATGTTGTGGCGTTGAGTGGAGTGGCGTGAAGCTTTTATTACACTTGGCTGTCGCTACTGTCCAGACCGGTCTGCGCTCCCCATAGCCCCGAATCTACGAGTATTTCCCGGTCCAATCGCAGTCGAAAACGGAGTCGGAGTGGCTCTGGTAATTATGCAGGAATTTTTGATGCGACGACTGTCGCGTCTCCAAGTCGCCACAGTAAATTCTGCGAATCTGACAGATTTTATTGTATGCCAAAACTAGTATCATTCAAATTCGTTTACAGCCGGTACGTACCCCCGAAAAACCAAATCATATGCAAAGAAGCCCCGGCCAGGCCAGGCAGAGACCGAGACCGAGACGAGACCTCTCGCTTCGAATACTTCTCACATCCTAAATACATTTTTCCAAGCTAAGAAAACGGGAAAACTCTTTTAGCAAAAATGATTTCCTGTACAAGGCTATTATAGTTCCTATATTACCATATGACAGGAGCTCCCTGGTTTGTTCGGACCTCAATGCCCAAAAGAGATCTCCACTTTGCTGGATACTAAAGCAGCTAGAGGTTTGCTGATCTCTCAAGCGTCTGCATCCCTGAAACATTGAACCAGTGAGCTGGATATGCTGTCCTAGTTCTTCATGAACTTTGACGCATACGAGGAGAGGTCTAGCTCAGTGGCTATTCCTTATGTCCTTAAGATAGTCAGATGAACACCAATGCCACTAGTTGGCAGAAGTCCCCCTTCTCTAGGAGCATGAGGCTGGGGCTGAGGTACCATCTAACCCTCAGCTGCCTAGACATACATACATCCTCTTGGAGCCCCATATAAGCCCCATATGTGCCATGTGCAAGGTCCAGCAAAGTGAATGTCCAAGCGCTGATCAGATCGATCGCTCATGCATAATGCATCGCACAGGAACAGCAATTAATCAGCAATTAATTTTTCATAAATTGATCGTTTATTGACTGAAGGCAGGAATTACATGCCCGCTACCGTATGGCCTGCTGGACCGCTGCTTCTTCGCTTCTCCTCCGCTACTCTGGCTCCGCTGCTCTGGCTCCGCTGCGACGGGAGATGGAGAAAAAAGACAATATTAATTGCTAATTATGCGCCGTGTCAAAACAACAAAACTAAGCCACATACATACATAATAAATTATCAATTTGTCTACGGCTTTAATCACAGGCCACAACCAGAATATCAAGAGGTACTAGGCATGTCTTCTGGGCAGGCAGGCCAGTGGGGATGGGGATGGGTATGGGGATGGGTATGGGGATGGCGATGGCACGTAGACCAAAAAACGGTCAATACTCGTAAAACTGAAAGCGAATAAACAATAAATCAGCCACAAATCGGTTGCTTCGAGTGGAATTTTTAGCATAGTTCGTTGCTTTCGACCTTAACGCGGTGTGGTGTGGTGTGGTGTGGTGCGAGCCCTGTGCCAAACAAACACGCTTCCACAGAACAGAATGGAGTCGGAGTCGGAGAGCCCGGGCATAATTAATAAATTCCAGCGTGCGCCGCAGAGTGAGTCTACAGTCCAGTCCAGCATCGAGCATCGAGCATCCAGCATCCAGTATCCAGTATCCAGTATCCAGCAAACAAAACAACAAATTGACGTCACACACAGGGTCGGGCCCTGGCCCGTTGCCTGTCGGCGGGCATTCGGCCTTCCCTGGGCAAGTGTGACATGGTAGGAACGGAAACGGGTTAAACGGGTACGGCAGCGTCCCCCTCCAAACATCCAAACAACAACAGCTCTGTCTCTGGCTCTGGCTCAGGCTCTCGCTCAGGGCCTTAATCAAAGGTGTTCGTTCTCTGCTGGCGAATAGCCAGCATCTGTCCATGTACTTATTACCGGCACTGTGCCCGACTCCTGGCATGCAATAAAATCAAGATGGACTGGACCCAAACAACATTGTATGCCAGCGACTAGTTTTCATTAAGCGTTACGCCTCCTGGCGACCGGCGACATCTTGGCGTCAGCCAAATGGGGGGATAATGAGCATTGCAGGCCCCGCAGTTCAGGTTCGACGACCTTCTGGGATGGAATGGGATGGGTTGGATGCACAGGCACATTCCCCAACACCTTCGATCTGTGGATCTGTTAACTTGTGATAATATCAGATCTATAATAAAATACAGATAATATGGAAAAGATGGAGGACAAGAATGTGCTCTGTAACGCCCTTCCACTCCCCCACATAACCTTGTAAAGCAGATTCTTACAAAAAGGGTCTGTGGAAAGTTTCAGGGAAATACATAGGTATGGAGATAGAAGCTTGGCTGATTTCAATTACTTATGAACCCCACTCCATGCCGTGCCCCCTCGATTGGATCTTCTCGGTGAGGGTGTTACGATTGTTTCCGAACCGTAGAAATACTTAAGCGGCAGTGCATCCAAATTTGGCATGAGCTTTCAGAGGCATTTAGCACTGATTCGCTCGGCCAGCAGCGGATTCCAATGGAGCGATGGAGCGATGAGTCGCTCAAGTGAGGCTCGTCTCTGGGATGGGATTGGTATGGTATGGAATGGGATGTGATTTGATTTGATGCCCATTTATGAATCCGTTGGGCACCGCGCGGGTGGGCGGTCTACCTGCCCCACTCGCATTCCCACGCCGCCTAGGCACAGGTACTGGCGTGGCACGGCCCGTGGCACACCCAGGCCGAAATGGGAAAACCATTTGAAGGGGCCGTGGTGGGGAGGGGGGCCGGATAATTAATTACACGAGGCTGCAAAAAATAATGCAGAACAATGGCCCGATCCCGAGCCCGAGACCGATCCCGGGCCCAAGCACGGGCGATGGTGAGGGGTAAAAGCATTTCGCCGGATGACGGGTGATAGCGCTCCAAATACTTAACCGCAGACGGGCAGAGGCCGAGAGATTTATGGCTTTCGTCCAACTCTGGAATATCCCAAAAAAAAGCCCAAGAGATCTGGCCAAAGACGATCGAAAAGAAAACATGTGCTTCGCGAGAGCCGCAGACGAAGCCCCACCGCTGGAGAGCACCAGACGGATCTCTCTGCCTCTCTCTATGTCTCTCTCTCGGCGTCGGCCCATAAATATGAGTCGCTCTGGTCAGGTAGCCTCAGTTCGTGTCTGAATACCAGCCCGTGCACACAGCCTCTGAAAAAGCCTGAGATTTTTTTTGCTCGCCAATCGCGTCAAGAATTGCCAGTGAACGCCATACGAGAGTGGAATCCAGTCGAGTCCCAGTTGAAAACCAAGAAATTCCAAAATGCATTCGGAAAAAGTTTGTGCCGCCTTCGCGCTCCTCGCCTGCCTCGCCCTCGTCGAAGCGGCCGTCTACAGCCAGCCCGCCATCTTTCATCCTGGTAGGTATTCGTGAAGGAGTTGGGATGGTTGGGATGGGTCCCTCAACAGTCTCTCGAGACGGTGGGAAAAGCCTCTGGCCATTTGAGATCAGTTTGTTTTCTAATCAAGTCTGTTTTGATCGTAAATTATGCAAAGTTTTTCTGAGACATGTGAAAAATTCCATTAGTTTTATGCTCCGTTCAACCCGTTCGGATCGTTGTTTATGGATTTTTCTAATTAAGTTTTCAATCAATTCTTCCCCATAAACGACCTTTGCCAGCGTTGAGAAACAATAAAAAGCCAAACAAAAAACATTGATATCAGTTGTCAGGCGACTTTTCTGATTGATTTACGACACGGACGAGGCCTAACATTACCTCATTTGGAGGTTACAGTGTCCTCGAGGGTTCTACAGAAGACCCAATCCCAATCCCAATCCCAGTCGCAATCCCATTCCCATTCTCATTCTGAAGAACTACTTTCGGCGAAACTTTGACGTCAGTTGTCAGATGGAATTTGACTGCTATTACGTTTTTTCGGACATGTGATTTATGGGAACCGATACAATCTGATATTTGGGTGCTTTCGCTGACGTCAACGTATGGGTATAAACAAAAGAAAACGATCGATTGTTTCAAACAACGCAAAAGGCGGACAAAACACAAAAACAAAAATGAAAACAAAAACAAAAAGCATAGATAAATCGAAATTTGTCATCTTTTTGGCCCCCTTTTCGACTGTGTAGCAGCTACAGATACAGATACAGATATATGTAGATACATAGATACGCAGATATGGATTTCGGTTTGGGATTTGGGTTTTTCGCATTTGCCAAAAATTAGCATAAGAAATGTGCTGACGGTGGGGTATTATTCAGGAGATCGGCTCATTTGCATCGCTATGCGGATTTGAGTTAGAAAAATTATCGCCTATCCATCGCTGGGCATTCAGCCATCCAGTAAGCCAGTCAGTCAGCCAGTCGGATCGGATATGTTGTATTTTCCTTCAGTATCCCCCCTCCCGTCTGGCTGAGTTATTCATACGTGAAGGTCGTCGGACGTCTTTGGCCCGTACCGGGGCGGGGGGGAAATTCTGGCATCTGGTTCATCCACGATTCACGATTTAAGATTCACGAGGAATTAGCGCCAGCCCAGTTCCCAGTTTAAAAATAGGCGATGAGTTCACGCGAGCCGCTCGGTTAATTGCACAATTGGGAGTGAGAAGGAGAAGGAGGAGAAGGAGGAGGTGGTGGAGGAGGAGGAGAATGGTAAATTAATGGCATGGCGAGTGTCATTAATCAAACTTACCTTTCTATTCGGCAATTTACGAGAGTATTTTTGAACCCAACAACTCAACAATTTCAGCCGCAGGCCATTCGTTATAAATAAAAGTACGAATACGAGTACGAGTACGAGTACGCTCCATCGACGTCTGTCAGGTTGTATCAGGGGGCAGGGGTCTGAGAGAGAGACTTAAAAATAAGTATGGCCCAATCACGAGTTGCCTGCGGCTCGTATTTCAGATGTATTTATAACCAGACCTGGGCCCCTTCAGATCCAAACTCGGGTCTACTTCGAGTCGCACTTCATTGTGCCAATTTTCTTGTCGAATGACTGTCAAGTTTGTGTCTTGAGTCTTTCGTTCGATCCGCTTGGGCGAGTCACGGAGCGACAGGCACAGACTCCTACACACTGTAGGATCGGCCAGTCAGCCAGCCAGCCAGACCCTGCGGCCCATCTATATTGCATATTCACTGATGGAGGGGGTGGGGGAGATTGCACACGCTCGAACAGTATTTAAATTTTTCCAGGCACACAGCACAGAGCACAGAGCACAGAGCGATTTATAGCCACTTCCTCATAAACCGTAACTGCGACGGGGGGACAGACAGCGCATAAATATTGTAAAATACATCGACGGGGGAAACAAAGAAGAAGAAGAAGAAGAAGAGGACTTTAACCACTTCCGCTTTAACTTTTGCTAACCTTCCGCTCTCCATCTGGTCCTTTCTTGCAGCGCATCCCGGCAAGTGCTTCGACAAGTTCACCAGGCGAGCGATGCTGCCCGACAAGGAGTACAAGCCGAAGGGCATCTGCGCCAGCATGACGTGCAGCCTCGAGGCGCGGGAGATCAGTATCGAGACCTGTCCCTACGTCGAGGCCCCCGGCTGCGAGGAGCTGCCCGCAGACGTCAACTGGAGCTTCCCCAAGTGCTGTCCGCAGTTCAAGTGCGTCGACTTCAAGACCGGCAAGGAGTTTGTCGTCTCGCTGTAGATGCAGCATGTAGCATACAGCATACAGCATGCCACCTGCCACCTGCCACCTTCCACCTGCCCCAGTCCCATCCCCCATAGTCAGTTGAAACTGAAACGTGATTTTACATGAAATGTATTCGTAGATTCGTAGTGCCTCTGTGTGCCTGATTTTGAGTGAGAGCGAGCCCGAGTGAATGATTCATCTAACTTCTTAATTTATTTATTGTAATTTGTACATAACACCCAATCCAGTCCGCATAACCCCCTTGTCGGCATTGTCTTCATGTTTTCATGTGTGAACAGAATTGTAGTTTGTTTTGATTTATTCAAAAGTCCCTGTATGCGATATTTGCAAGTATGACTAACTTTAAACATAAATTGTTTAGTTCTTAAGGTTTTAATTAAAATAAAAACACGTACATATACATATCTACACATGCACATACATATGTTTGATCTTTGGGATCGCGTCGGATGCCATGCCATTGTCTGGATGGGGAGGCAGAGCAGCGTCATGTCCAAATATGAACATTTTTCTCCGCCGCTCACGAGTGTTTGCTCTGTCCACACGACTACTTCCACCCGTATTACGCGGACATCTGTTTTCGGACTTTGTCAACAAGAGCCGCCAGAGCGACAGCAACTGACTCATCTGCGGGGCATTCATGGCATTGGTAAACATGGCACAGTCCGCGCTTGAAACGCTCCAGAGGCGAGCACCAAATACGAGCAAAGGTTTATTGCTCGGGGAGTCCAACGGTTGCTGACTCTGCGCCTGATGCGACTGTTAAATTTTATTTTCATGTTTATAGTCCCAAGCGGAAATGCCTAATGCTATCGTACGGCCCGCTATCGCCCATTGGGAAATGAGATAGTTCTGGAAATCTCTTCAATATACTAGTATCTTAGAGCCATTTAAATAAACTTCTTGATTGATTTTTGAAAAGCTTTAAGTTGGCGCCACATTTTATTAACATAAACAAATGTAATTTCCGCGCAGCTCTAGCGACTATACAGTCGAAAGTATCTATTGTTTGTTGCAGGGTTTCTCTCTTCGAACATGTTCGATCAAACCCAAAGTCGATCGCTTTATGCTTTACACTTTACTTCTCCATGATTGCCAGGAAACTCGAATTTAGTATACATATGTGTTGGCGCGCTTGCAAATTCTTTGTAATGTACGGAAAAATAAGTTGAAATGGAGAAAAATTCAATTTGAATTAAAATCCTATTGCTGAGACGGTATATTTCTGTAACGCCCCGGCCTCTCTCCAGCACCATGCTATACCTCATAATAATTTCTGATCAAGAGTTTTATTCCGATCACAGGAACAACAACCACTTTCAATTTGGCAATCAAAGCCAGATGAGCAGTAAGCAACTTTTTATTTTTTAATTGTTGCAAAAATACGTTGCATACTTTTGGGGTTGTTCAAAAACGGAGTCGAGGAATGACGGGGCATCTAAGATGATTTCCGATCATAGAGAGAGAACGTAAAAGAGTGGGTATGAAAATAAACTCCACGAATATAATGAAACTTGAAGAATTTAAGCGCAGTTCAGGTGAAAGAGTTCGTAGTTTTTTTCTAAGTTAGGAGGAAGGATAGGATGGACATACAAGGAAAATTAAAAATTTCGTTCAAGGATTTCAACTGTTTGAAGAAAAGGGGTTTAAGTGGGATAAGTTCGTTTTATATTGGTATATTGACGGTGTATTTTGAAAATTAGACAGTATATTTCTGAGTGTAAGACCGTATATTTGATCACCATGTCTAGCCTTCACCCCTGGCAAAATTTATAAGTATTTCCAGTATTTAAGACGCGTTATGGACCGGCATCCTCTTGTTGAATGCACCAATGTAGAAATCGTGTATAAATGCTATTTAGGGCCATGTCCAGTCCACTAATTCGTGACCAGCATAGAATTCCTAATCGATTGATATCAAAATCTTAATTTTTTCAAAAATGTCAGAAAAAATGCATGTCAAAGAGTGGATAGCGGATGTTTTTTCACACTGACGCTTCCATGGGGCTTATATGAAAATAAAACGGCCAAGCGTTCACATTTCTACTACAGATGTCGCTCTTGGTAATTACATGAAATTGTAGTTACAATGTGGAACTGTTGCTCCTTTTTCAGTTTAAACCTTATTTTTTAAATAATCAAATAAAGATAAGTACTTAAAATAAGCCAGTCTTGTAGGAAAGCTGAGGGCCCTAGCTAGCTAGTAATATTTTTTAAATAATTCGTCAGTATATTATGACGTATATTTTGGTATATTTCTGAGGGTCAGACCGTATATCTTATCGACAAAACCGCGGTCACACCGTTTTCTTCTTCTGGACACCGAAACAACATCGCTGTTCGTCCATTTTGTAGATTCTCTTTTCTCTTTGCCACCGAAACAAAGCAGTTGTGTTGTGTTGAAAATGAAGCCGGCAGAGTGATTGGTTAACAATTTAATCTGTTGGCATCGGTGTCGCAATGAGTAAAATCATCAATTAAAACGGGAAAAGGTAGCTATTGGAAGATTAAACTAATGATATTTCCTGATATTAAGATAATTATGCACAAAGTATCTCCAGAAATCAGAAATGTCTGTGCTTTGGTCGCAAATTAAGGCGTGCTAAATTAACAAACAAATGCTGCTTACTAGCATCGTTAGGCGACACGAATACACCAACTGTGGCCATGGTTTTCAAAGCAGTACAAAATTACCAAAAATATCTTACAATATTCGAGCATTTTTTCACGGTGACTGTACCTAACCTCAAATGTACTTTGGACCTTCTTGCAGCTTTGGTTATTGAGTTGAGTGAAAATCCAAAAGCCCCATCATGTATCTGTACAATTTGACGCTGCAGAAGGGAACGGGCGTCACGCACGCCGTCCATGGCAACTTCTCTGGCGGCAAGCAGCAGGAGATACTCCTGTCACGTGGCAAGTCGCTGGAGCTGCTGCGGCCCGACTCGAACACCGGCAAGGTGCATACGCTGCTCTCGACGGAGATCTTCGGTTGCATACGCGCTCTGATGGCCTTCCGTCTGACGGGCGGAACAAAAGGTTGGTAAATGTAAGGAACAATTGTTGACTTAACCTCGTTAAATGTAACTGAAAGACGCACAAAACCCTATTGAGGCAAAAACTCGTGTAGTTTGCCACAGTAAGACCTTGTTAAACCCGTCTACGTGCGAGAGTAACCAAAAAGACTTGGCGTCGCATTTGCCATAACCCCAAACACGTGGTATGGCGAACTGAAACTTCGAGTTACACCCGAAACCTAACCTCAAAATGGGGTCACCACTACCGCACTTCCGGTCCATTTCTAATTGGTCTTGCATCTTCTTCACTCTCATTAGATTATATCGTTGTGGGTTCTGATTCTGGCCGCATTGTCATTCTGGAGTACATGCCCGCCAAGAATGCATTGGAGAAAGTGCATCAGGAGACCTTTGGCAAGTCTGGCTGCCGTCGCATCGTGCCGGGCCAGTACTTTGCCATCGACCCCAAGGGTCGAGCCGTGATGATTGGCGCAGTGGAGAAGCAGAAGCTGGCCTACATCATGAATCGCGACACGCAGGCGCGCCTGACGATCTCATCTCCGCTTGAGGCGCACAAATCCAACACTTTGACCTATCACATGGTCGGTGTGGATGTTGGCTTTGACAATCCCATGTTTGCCTGCCTGGAGATCGACTACGAGGAGTCTGACTTGGATCCAACGGGTAAGCATCTTCCACTCTCTCCATCTCTCTTTCCCTATTAGCGCCTTAATTCTCAGGGTTTGTGGATTAACCCACCATCGACACCTGTCTGTACTTGGCGCCAGAGAAATTGTCGATCACTGAACCATTGGTGTTGCTGTAATTGCCTAGCCACACTTCACTGATTTGTGACCCACACTTGAAACTCATCTCCCGACTGAATATCGAACTAACAGATGTTTGATTTCCTTGCAGGCGACGCTGCACAGCGCACTCAGCAGACGCTCACATTTTACGAGCTGGACCTGGGCCTCAACCACGTGGTCCGCAAGTACTCGGAGCCTCTGGAGGAGCATGCCAATTTCTTGGTCTCTGTTCCTGGCGGCAATGATGGACCCTCTGGCGTGCTCATTTGCTCAGAGAACTACTTAACATACAAGAATCTCGGCGATCAGCACGATATACGTTGCCCGATCCCGCGTCGTCGCAACGACCTGGACGATCCCGAGCGTGGCATGATCTTCATTTGCTCGGCCACGCATCGCACCAAGAGCATGTACTTCTTTCTGCTGCAAACCGAGCAGGGGGACATCTTCAAAATCACCCTCGAGACCGACGATGATGTGGTGTCGGAGATCAAGCTCAAATATTTCGATACGGTGCCCCCAGCATCGGCCATGTGTGTGCTGAAGACGGGCTTCCTGTTCGTGGCCAGCGAATTCGGCAACCAGTAAGTGGAGTCTTGTGGCCTTTCTGGGGCTTTAGCTAATCGTTGCATTCTTCTTTTCTGCAGCTATCTCTACCAGATTGCTCATTTGGGCGATGATGATGATGAGCCAGAGTTCAGCTCGGCCATGCCCCTGGAGGAGGGCGAGACATTCTTCTTTGCGCCACGCACCTTGAAGAATCTTGTACTGGTGGATGAGTTGCCTTCGTTTGCACCGATCATTACCTCCCAGGTGGCTGATCTGGCGAATGAGGACACGCCCCAGTTGTACGTTTTGTGTGGCCGCGGTCCGCGCTCGACATTGCGCGTGCTGCGCCACGGCCTGGAGGTCTCCGAGATGGCCGTCTCCGAATTGCCCGGTAATCCCAATGCCGTTTGGACAGTGAAGAAACGAGCTGATGGTGAGTTTCGTATTCTGATGCTTCTCTCTCTAAGATTAAGGCTCTAGAACGTAAGAATGAAGGATCGTTTCTCTAACTCAACTGGTGCATTGATGATGATATAGAATACGACTAGCTTTACACACACGATTCCAAACAAGTCCCACAAGTTATCAACCACCAGTTCTCTCTTATTTCAGGCGCTTAAACACAGACGTCAGTCCGTCAACTGTTTTGTTGTGTGTGACTATCGAAAAAAGACAAAAAAGACCCGCTCTATAAAGCGAACACTTGTCGAGCTTATGTAAAATTATGTCTTGTCTTTTGTGAAACGATAGGTAAGGCAACATTTACACTGCAGCTCATAAGTCAACAGATACTACCTACTATACTACCCGAACTACTACAACAAAACACTATTGTTAAATACCTTTAAGAACATATCGTTGAACAGACGGACACGCACACACATTGAACATGATGCGATACTTATCAACCGTGTTTCAGCTGAATATCCATTGATTATAGCTTGATAAACTGATTATTCAATGCTGTCTGTCGTCTCCTAAGCTATGAATACCTCGTCTAGAGCTCCAATCGATCCCCCCATATTGATGT